TGAATGTATCTCAATCGTTTTTTTCTCCACATCGTCAATGTGTCATGAATAAAAATATGAAATCTGGGAGGATAAATTAAATATAGAAATTGTGGCCAACAGAACAATATCAGTTGCGTTCAACATACTCGTAAGCATGATCACACACCCAGCTTACATATGAGCCATGTAATAACCAGTATAACGCCTTTTGGGGCGACTAACGGAGCGAGCGAGAGGGTGGGCCTTGCACGTGCGAAATTGCGAGGGGGTACCTCCAACTGACTTGTGCACGGCACCCTACTAACTGGTCTCTAGCGATGTGCCAAATTTGGGCACAATCGGCCCAGCCGTTCTCGAGATCTGGAAGCGGCACCCTGCACGTGCGCACGTGCAAAATGGGTCCCAACTGACTTGTGCACGGCACCCTACTAACCGGTCCCTAACCGTGTACCAAATTTGAGCGCAATCGGTCCAGCCGTTCCCGAGATCTGGAAACGACCCCTGCACGAGCGCACGTGCAGCAGCACCCCAACTCTGGCACATGTATATGCAGTGCCTAGTGGGTGCCTACCTACATGCCAACTTTCAGCGCAATCGGCCAAGTAGTTACCGAGATATTGCAACAATTACAAAACGGACACCTCTTCGTTTTGCACGTGGCACGCATAGGCGGCGGAACGATTTGAGACAAGGGGGGGGCACCATGGCTCAAGGAGCCAAACCTAGGGTACCCCCAAATCCTGTTTTCTCATCGGATTTAGGCCACTTATTTTTCGTCACAGCCCTGACACGATGATTTTTTATTATTTTTTTTTTTTACTAAACGAAAATGGCAGTTCACCCCCGTATGCAGGGGTGTACCTAATTTTATATCTCTTTGTGGGGGCATATGCAGCCACCCACAATCCTGAATTATGCCCCCACAATGATGAAAAAGCACCCACAAGTCTTTTACAAGGCTGCAACCGTCCTTTCGAGAGCACGGTGCCCTTCGCATGCTCTAACGGCCTCCTCCTGACCGTCTCGCGTTCATGGATAGCGTTTTTAATCACTCGGCGCCCTTCTGGGAGAATGGCGCACTTTTGACAGCACCGCGCCATTCTCATGGTCTAACGGCGCCCTCCTGACCGTCTCGCGTCCTTAGGTCTCTGTTCACCGTGCATCCCTCGACTATTCGGCGCCCTTCTGGGCTCTCAGCGCCCCTGAACCACATATAGCGTTTTCAATCACTCGGCACCCTTTTACGAGAATGGCGCCCTTTTCATGATCTCAAGGCGCCCTCGTAACCATCTGGCGCCCCCACGTCCCCACCAACGTAGCACTACTGACTGTGCGGCGCCCTTCTGGCCTCTTAGCGCCCCTGGACCACATAGCGTTTTCAATCACTCGGCGCCCTCCTAGGAGAATGGCGCCCTTTTCATCGTCTCACGGCGCCCTCGTAAGTCGTAACCGTCTGGCGCCTCCACATTTGGTGCCCCTCCTACTGGATGGCGCCTCTCTACATATTTTTTACGTCCTTCCGGTCAGTTTCCACTTTTAAGCGTGTATTTGCTTAGTCAGACACGTCACTTGAAGCGCCATTCGGCTAGCAATGTTATCAAATTCGGTGTTAATTTAGGCTCCCACATAAAGAATATCGCGCCCCAAAACGGCCTGGCGCCGGGTGCCCCTACAGCTGGGCACCCACAATCATTTTAGGAAAATTACACCCCTGCCCGTATGTGTGGTTAACTTTAAGCTGATCCTCAAGTACCTATGTGTTTGTCTCTTCCTTATTGTCGTTTGATAAATTCCATTTATCCTACATGTATAATTCCCAAGAAGCCATCGCAGTACTAATCAGTGGCGAATCCCAGGGTGGAGGTCACATGGGTCATGACTTAGGGCCTGGGGTCACCACATGCCTGCCAGGAGCACCACAGGCCCGCCAGGGGTGCCAAAGGCCTAGCAGGGGCACCACGGGCCTGTCAGTGGCACCACAGGCCTGCCAGGAGCACCATCGGCCTAGCAAAAGCACTACAGGTCTTCCAGGGGCACCACAGACCTGCCAGGGGCACCAGAGGCCTGTCAGGGACACTATCGGCTTCGCAGGGGAACCACCGGCTTCGCAAGGGCACCATGGGCCTGTCAAGGGCACCACAAGCCTGTCGTTGGCAATTTAGGATTGTCAGAGGCACCACAAACCTGTCAAGGGCACCTGCGTTCTAACAGGGGCACCACAAACCTGCCAAGGCCCAGGGACACCACAGGCCTAGCAAGGACACCACAGGCCTGTCAGGGGCACCACGGGCCTGTCAGGGCCCATGGGCACCTAAGTCATGTCAGGGCCCACCGTAAGCTTGTCAGGGGGCAGGGTAGGTAGGTACCACAGTCTTTCCAGGGGCACCAGCGGCTTAGCAGGGGCACCAGTCATCACATGACTAACCAAAAATAAAGAAAAAAAAAACTGAAAATAGGGCACCACCAAAATTAAGTGGCCGAAATCCGTTGAGGTTTTAATTTTGGGCATAGGTAGGGGCACCACTTCGATTCATGAACCTCCCCTTAGAGTTTTCCCGAATCCGCCCCTGGTACTAATACATCAAATTTAAGGGGGGGCACCTTGCTATTGGTGCCCCCCTTGCAGAATTCAAGGGGGGGGCACGGTGCCCCGGTGCCCCCCCCGTTCCGCCGCCTATGGTGGCACGTGCATAGGGGGTCACCCACATGCATCAGGAATAGTCCAATACTTGGTAGAAGGAATGAAGCTACCCTACAAAAATTACCGCGTGTAAATCGGTCAAGTGGTTGCTGAGATATAAGCCTCGCAAAAGCGTGACCACGGCCGGCCGCTCATACTCAGAAATTTCCGTTAATCTAAGGAAAGACTACGCTCGCTACGCTCGCTCCGTAATTATTTTTGATAGACATGCTTAAGTTATGAAATCATCTGAAATGTTTGTAAAGTTCCACGATACGGATCTAATATCCTGCTATGCATCATGACAATTTCTGGTCAGGTCATGTCTTCGAACAATAGGCCAAATTTTTCAAATGACCTTTAAAGATCAACTTTTGATTCATTCGAAGCGTTTTGATAAGAGGAACACGAGGCTGGTAAAATTAATTTCAAGCAAGTTTTAAGCTAAAAACTTTTAAGTGTTTGTGGAAAAGCAATTGGTTTTCTCATAATACCGATGGTGGCAGTTGCTGTTATTTACGTGCTAAGCCGTTCACCTTAATTAAATCTGACAATATTATTCAGACAGCGGTAAACGAGATGATTGTTGTATTAGGTTAGGCTCGGTCGATTTCAGAGTGGGAAGGATGACAGGAATTAGGGGGAGACAGGGGGCCCGGGCGGGAGTCCTGGACCTCATGCTCCGCTGGGGCCGAGCCCATCACGTGGGTTGGATTGCCCTGACACATGGATAGCCCTGGGCGGTGTTTCACGGCCCCGCGTTGCAGCACGCTGCGCTGCGCTGCTGCATTGTTGCGGCGGTTGATATGAATTCGGCTCCACGCTAGCGTTGCGAGCTTCCGAGTCTGTTGATGTTTCCATGGAAATTGGAAACCCAATGCACCGGTGCGCGCAACGCACCCTGTCCAAGCAAAATTTTACCACCGATGACCTCTGGTGCCATGACCTCTGGCTCTAACCCGATCTAAAATGGGCAGAAGTATTCTTCTTCTTCTTTTTGCTATTTTTGACGCTACTTCGAATGCCACTTAAATGTCCAAAGCTGAGGTATAAGATTGATGCTCAATCCCCATTTCCCCTCCAACAGGGCGTGAAAGTCTAAGGCATTCCTGTGGGGCACGGGCTAACAATGAGTATCTCATAATCATTGTGACCAGGCCATGAACATCTACTGCCATTCTTTAACACCGGTTTCGCTGCGCTGAGCGGTGGCCGTCCCGTTTGTTGGATTCTACAGCTGGCTGGCGGAAAGCGTTACCGGCCGCCCGTCCACCGCCCGCGGGCCGGACCGAGCGGTCCCGCTGACCCTACCTGACCTGATGCCGGCGCGATACGGGACAGGCATACGGAGGTTCGGCTCAGCGGAGGCAGCGCCCACTGGTGCCGGGGACTTTTTTAATAGACCTACTGTACATACATACAACTTGTTATTCGTGTCCTTGGCTCAGCCTAGCATTTGATGGAGATTATAATTCATAAGCACACCCTATATAGTATGTTCATGCCAGAACAAACCAGATGACCGTTTTTTCATCAGTGCTTAAGAATGCTTAGCTTTCTGGCGACTCGAGACTGCGCAGTAGGTACTGGTAGGCTCACGGTCTTCCTATCGTGCTGGAGCGTCCAGTTATCTTTCGGAGTAATTAGCAAGCAAGCATTTTCCTGGTATTTGGCAAAATGACCCCAGATGGAATTAACGTATTAAGCACCTACATGCAAATTCCAGTTACTAGGATCTGTTTGCATTTCAATTTGCCAGCATGAAAATAAAAATCCATAATGCAAAAGACATCTAGGTAATGCTTGTTTATAGAATGTTATTGAAATTTCTCAGTCCAGCCATGAATAAGTGCAGCGATGACCTTCATTTGAAATTTGAATCGTTATTTTAAAATCGCTATAAAGTCGTTCATCATAGATCATTGGTCGTTAAACTACTACCTAACCTGTTAAGCTAAATAGATTAGATATATGTATTGCTCGACGGTTTGCTTTATTATAGATAACGGCCCAACGTTCCCCTACAGCGAAGCGCCGGGCAATTTATGCGTCTAATTTAGGTAACTGAATAATAATTTAACAGTTAATGATTTATGATAAAATACTTTTTAACAATTTAAACTAACGATTTGATAAAGGTCATTGCCGCATTTGTTATCCCATAAATCAGTAATTACCGGCTAGCGATGGTCTACACCAATCTAAATGGCTCCTTCTTTTCCGTGAAACCACTCGCGTAACGTTATACATACAGTTACGACTTACGATCATCCCCTGCTACTGATACGCGCAGGACGTCAGACTGTTTTTTGACACTGATCTGAAAAAGCTTGTGCTGATCACTGGTCCTCATAAGTATATTGTTTGTCAACAATTAACATCGATGGTATCATCTTGTTACAAACAAGGTTTACATCACATTCAAATCAGTCACAAAAAGCTCATTCTAGCTTTCTTCTCCCCGCCCTTGACGCTCACACTAAGCACATAAGCATTCTGTCTTTTTAGTGCCACCGGGGCAGGTCTATTCGGTAGAAGCAGCTCAGGCACCACTGCTCCATCCGTCTTTCTGGCAGTGCTCGGCCACCGTCACACCACTGACGCCGTTTTAAGCCGGTCAGCGCATCCTTCAGGTGTTTGTTCCTCTCCAAGCCTGCGGTGCTGGACCGTCCTCGCCACGCCGAGCACTGAGCGAGAGGACGGAATACCATCCCTCAAGTTCTCCCTTACTGCTGCCAACCACAGCCACGCCTCTCTGGCCGCAAGTCCAGTCTTAATTCCGACTAAAACTCATCTGATGATGAGTCGTTCGCGTCGGCCGTCACCGCTCCCTCTGCAGCGGCCGAGCTTCCCTGCCGTGCCGACTCTCCCTCCGCTGACTCAGACTTCTCCACACCGTCCTGGTCCCCGTGCCATAACCGCCGCCGCCAACCGGTGAGCGGCGGTTATGGCACCTATCCGTGCTTCTATCCTCAGGATACTGAAATCCTTCTCCTCCACGCCGCAACCCCCCTCCGGGCTGGACAGGCAACTTTATCTCATGCGGGCTGCTCCCTTGGAGCGGCACCGCTGCTCCTGAGGGAGCGCACCCCGTAGCCGGGTGCAGTGAGTGCTTTGGGGCTGGGTGGCCTGTCCTCTGGACGGGCTCAGCCCCGGCGACTCACTAGGGTGCCTGCCCAGACCAATGTCTCCCCATAATTCCTATCATCCTTCCGGCTCTGCAATGGTCTTGTCGACCGAAAGGGCCTAACCCAACAAAACAAAAACCGGTGAGCGTCTAAACGCCGAGGGCGCTCATGACGGCGCTCAGCTCGGCGGCCGCCTGGTTCAGGCTGGCCTGGGCGCCGGCCAGTGCGGGCGCCACACCCGCTCCGCTGCCGGGACGGCTGTTGAAGCGCGTGCCGATGGCAGGCGCTCCCAGAGACGGCACCTGGATGTTGAGAGGGCGCAGGGGGCGCACGGAGGGCACCACGGGGATGCTGCCGCTGAGAGCCGACTGGGCGGCCTGCAGGCTGGTGCCGCCGGCCGCCGGCACGGCGCCCGCAGTCGAGGGCACAGCGCCCGCAACCGGAGGCACAGCGCCCGCAGCAGGAGATGCAGCGCCCACGGCAGGAGATGCAGCTCCCACAGCAGGAGACGCAGCGCCTACAGCAGGAGATGCGGCGGCCGCGGGCTTCACGGGAGAGGCGGCCGGGACAGCCCTCTGGGCGGTGGCGGGCGCCACGGGAGCGCCCGCCTGGGCCGGGGTGCCGACGGCGGCCGGCGTCCGACGCCGACTGGAGAAGGAGCTCCTGGTGCCGAGCGTGGTGCCTGTGTCGGAGCGGATGCTGCTCGAGGTCTCAGAGACGGAGACGGACTCTCCGCCGCGAGAGGAGCCGCTCACGGAGACGCGCTGGGAGACTGAGGCGGCTCCGACGGCCGCCACCAGCACAGCTACCACCAGCAGACAACGCATTGTGACGCAGTTGAGACGAGAGGAGACCTGCGGACGGAGACACGGGCGGTCACGTCGGTCAGACAACGCTTTATAAGCTTGAAAGATGACGAGATGACCGTAAACCAGCCTGACCGGAGGGGAAATTGATTGACGCTTATGATGAAAATGATTGCGATAAAACTTGATTCCAGGACGGCTCTCAATGAGCGTCGTAACGTTGTTTCTCATGTTCAAGGGGACAGGCAGCCGAGTAATGCCATGCTCCGTTGCACCGGTCCTACCTGTTTATTCAGCAGCGTGCAGCCTGCAACTGGCGACCGGGCGGCGGTACCTGCTTATAAGAGGCGCCGGGAGCGGGACAGCCCGCGGACGATTCGGCAGCGCTACGCGGCATGCTGCTGGGATTTCTGGCCGCCGTCACTGACGTCATCGGCCGGTCGGAGCTGCCGACCCAGCAGCGGCCGACCGGGATTGGCCGGCGCCGACGGGTGACGTCATCCGGCCGACCGGCTTCGGTGAACGGCTCCAGGTAAAAATGTGAGAACGCCTGAGCTCACGTCATTTCATAACGACACGCGTCCAGCTACCGAATTCGGCGGATGACGCGAGACATGGATGGCGGAAACACTTGTATGTTTGAAAACTGTAGTTTGTAGACGGAAAGTGGCTATAGGTAGTTGGTCGGCCTGGGGAATGGGGATAGAAATAATCCATCAATCATCATGCGACGTGCTCTTTCTAGGCATAGGTAGGTATAGGGTGCGAAAATATAGGTAGGTGCATCTGCATATAAGCGAGATGGTCTTCTTTCAGGGATCCGTTTACTTTTTATGCCTAACGTAGACGGTAACCTCGCCCGCATTGGTGTCTTGCCAGCCGCGAACGTATGCGGTGGGGAGGGGGGGGGGAAGGGGGTCCGTTGGACCCCTCTAGCCTCTGATCGAGCTAGAGCTTCGCGGAAAAAAAACGAACGTTCAGCGTAATGCCCGTTACGAGAGGAAGCCGATAGTACCTAGGTACCCAATTTTAAGGTCCTAGGTCATTGGTTGACATGTTATGAAAGCACCAAAACTACTTCGTTAATGTTCAGGGTGCCATATATCGAAATCAGCTCCAAAAACTATATCATTTCACATGACTGAGCGTTTAAAACCACAAAAGGCTGGACTTGCGCGGACAATAGGTATATGAGCCAACATGCGCCGAATCGCGATTCGGCTATCCAGACATGGTCTCGAGGAACAGGTCATAGATCAAATGTCATTTGGGTCAGGGTTATGAAATTATCAGGGTAGGTGTAAAATTGATCAAATCGAGGGTCCTAAAGGTTTCGTTGCGATCAGCCGTTTTTAGCGCGAGCTATTCGCGAAAAACGGAGGGTCCTTTCGATCCCCCCTCCGCCTATAAGCGCGAGGGAAGGGAAAGCGTCATTGGGGGGGGGAGAGGGGGATAAAAGACGCCTCTTTCAGACGAACGTCATTCTAAACACATTCAAATATACTGAGTTACAACTCATGACACACTGAACCGGAAAATGGCACCCGTGACCCCTTCTTATGTCCTTGAGGTCATCCAGGTCACGAATGGAATCTTACAGTTAGGTATTCGCTAATAACTTAAAGAGGTGTGCTGGAGCGATGAAAGCGCCAGATGTGTTCAGCTCGACGATACGGATCGACGATCGACTGATATGCAACATGACCTTTTCTGTTCAGATCATCACGACCTAGGTCCTAGACCTAAGATGGGTTGTCGAAAGTGCGCTTTTCCGCGTCGCTGGCTCTATTGGTTCCCGGTTTAAGTGCCGGTATTGCGCTAAGTGTTGAAATTGGGAACATTTTACCTTTGATGACCTCTAGTGACCCTTTGACCTGGACCTAAAAATTGACTGAAGTATCCTTAGGTATTCCTTACTTTGGACGTTCTTTCGAATACCGCTTTACCACGTGTCGCTACATGGCTCAGAAGCCGAGTTAGAGCCATAGGGAGAGGTGTTCACCCCCCCCCCCCAGCAGGGCGTGAAAATCCAGGACTCCCAGCGGCACGCAGGGTAGCCTGGTATCAAAGGTCAATGGCTTATATCGGGTACCAGCCGGCGAGCCGCTGCGTCTTGTAACTTGTAATGGCACATAAGATCTTTGTATGCGAAGCGCAAGCTATTTAGGAACGAAACGGCAGGCGGCCGCGCTCCACCAGCCTAATGCCTATGTCACCGTGCACCAGCCCTTCCCGGCTCTCCTTCCTCTTTTGGAGCAGTAGGTACTAGGTAGGTATGCCCAGGGTCCAGAGAAGACTGAGCAATATCACTTATCAGTTACCAAATATGCATTTTACCATAAATGTAATGAATTTATCAAAAGCAATAACTATCATGGTGCTGCGGTTTGAATTTTGATTATAATCGCAGCATCTACATATAGCACTACACTACACGATCGTAACGACCAGTCACCCGATGACGTCACTAAACCGCTTCTGCTGGATGTAAACAAATCACTGGCCGTCGAGGTCAATATACTCGACCTTGGCATTCCACTTTGTGAGTGTTTTGCGCCGCGCGGTCGTGGGGTGCGCGCTCCGCAAGTATACGCGTATTTATATTTCTGAGAGGTTTTAATTTATTCGTTATGAATGCGGTAGTAAAAGGTGAGCTTGATATTGATCCGTAGTTATGGCTTCATGTCATAGATCGTCTCATTCTGCATGTTTTTTAAGTTGAAAGAAGTGGCGCAGCTGCGCAGCAGAAAGCATCAAACTTCAATATTGTTGCATTTTATGTCCACCTATGCCCTGAAATAAAGCTGGAATTGTTTAGTATTTCAACCATTTGTTAGTAGTTTCACTTATTGTGTGATATGTGATGTGAAACATGAATAAATAAATTCATTATGATAAGATTTCTGTCATTAGGGTAGTGTCCTATTGGCAATGCTCGATTCTGTAATTTAAATTAAGAGCCTGATAAGCTTAATAGCTCGATTGAGCTCTGTAACAGTCCATAAACCACCTTAAAACTCTTGGTTTAATGATACTGCAATAACATTCAAGAATTAGGTCAAATGCATTTTAAAGGGAATAGTTCACTTTCACGAAATTCATTTTTTTGCAATGAATTTACGACTTTTTTATGCTCAAAATGACCAGCAAATAAAATTAAACCTTGTTATAAAAATTGTATTTTCTATATTTTGATATAAGAAGAACTAGTTAGTTTTAACCCGCGAGTTGCTGGCCCCCACTTTTCGACCATAGCATAAAAATGGCGCGCCGCAGGCGCGCCAAATTTTGGGTACCTGTAGCGAATTGATTGAAGTTTATTGTGACAAAGTTTAAAAAAAATCGGTTGGGAAATTTTTGAGATATCAAGATTTTAGTGACTTCATGATTTCTGAGTTTTCGACCAAAAACGGCATATGTTCAAAAAATCATATAAAATCACAGAATAGACACACAGACATGCTGTAAACGCCATTATGCTGCCAATACCATGATCAATCAAATGGCTATCTTTGATTATTGATTATCGTTCCGCATTTTCCATAATCTTGAACTGAATCTTGGCAATTTCTCGTGACTTCTTCACAACCATGATACATGCATTTCTTAGATTGAACTTTTTTAGCCAAACACGTACACATATGATAAAATGAATGTCACCATTTCTACGTCCCAACTTACCTATAAAACATGTGTCACAGGCTGCAAATATCAGTTTTGATTTTCAGGGATATGTGCCTACCCGGTTGACCTGACCTTGACCCTGACCTATGCTTGACTAACCCCTACATGGAGCTGACACTCTTGTAGGCCTTTTATGATGGATTGTGCACCGTTTTGACAGAGTTTATGACGAGAGGCGCCCATTGCGAAGTCCTGAAGTCCATGCTACTGAAAGCCCGATTTCAGGTGTTTTACCTGACCTTGACCCGACCTGTGACCTCAAAATTCAACTTTTAAGTACTCATCTGAAGCGTCTCGTCGCGTTCTTTCGTTTGCCGCCTCGTGCGTTTCGCTGCGCCTATTGGTTCTCGAGTTATCGGCTGGGGGCGTTAGCCCTCCCCCCCCCCCAGCAAACGGTGGGTGGCGAAATACCCCAGCAACTGCCGGGTTAAAAGAGGGAAATGACCCCTGCAAGACACATATTCCTCAGCAAGGCACATTTTTCAGGACGAGACGAGAAATGGAATATCTTTGCCTAGCCTAGGGTGATCATTGGGCTGTAAAAGCTCCTGCTTTGTGCTAGTCTCAGCTCAAGCTACAGAACTGCTATTCCAGTTCAAAACCCCCATGTTAAAAGTGAACTATTTCCTTTAAGTTTAATGTTACATATATCCTGTGTAATTGCATTGTACTGCTACTAGTTGTGCTGTTGTATTTTTTTCATCTTACTTTTATTGTATTCTTTCAGACTGAACATAAGCTGTGGATTGGAGCAGCACACCATCTGGCACCTTCCCTTCTCTTAACCATGCTGTGGTATTCAGCATTTATCTACAGTGAGTACACTTTGCTTAGTTGCATCAACTGGAGCTTGGTTTTCTTGCATGTGGTGTGATTGACAGGCCAGTGGGCGGCCTTTTCGTACTGAGCTACTCTTCAATGCTAGGCTCACAGTGTCTCAGAATTTGAAACCCCTCTGCACCCCTGTCTTGGACACCACTCTGGCTTAAAGCATGGCATCATGGAACTTTTGCCAGGGAGGGCCAGACTCTCACCTCACCTCCCTCACCCTAGACAAACAGATACCTACTACCTAGTCAGCTTGATGTTGTGACATCAGAAAGAACACTGCTAAACTGGTAGGGAGGCAGGGGACAGTCTCCACCTACCTCAATCTTCAGCAGGTGATGGAGGGCAAGAAGTTCACTCAGTAAGCTGTGCCTGAGGCCACCCCCAACAAACTCAACAAGTACTATGTGGGTGTCCGCTCCGCCATCAGGTCGCGGCAGAGGCCTTGGGTGGCGGGTCTTATATGTTGTACTAGTATGTGTTAATCACAAGTGCAAAATCCTTTAATCTAAGTAAGGATCCAGAAGGTTAGGATCTAGATTCTAGAGGCTTGAGGTGCGCTGAGCTGAGGTGAGCTGAATTTTTGTTCAGTCCAAAAATGTTGCAACATCACAGTTCTGCTGGTGCCTGGGAATGTTATGCAAGGAGCGGAATATTATAGGAAATAGTATGCTCCCTAGTCCATCAGCTTGCAGGTATGTCTCGGCTTTATCGTGAGAATTGCTTTAGGGTATTTCGGTCACATGTGCTCACTATTTCAAATCAATGGGCAAATCCGAAAACGTTTGTAAAGACTGTTCGCCACTTATTTGCAAATCATTAGCTCGATTGAGGTTGAAGCGGTAAGCGGGGTCTTGCCCTCCTCAACAAGAGGGCCCAGCGAGGATTACCCCTCGCCTGTATAGGGGGGGGGGGGGGGAGTCGAATAACTCCCCTCGTTTTTTCGCAAATAACTCGCGTAAAAAGCGGCCGATCGTGACGAAGCTTTCATTATCCTCGAGTTAATTAATTTTACACCTACCCTGAAAATTCCATGACCCTGACCCAAATGACGTTTGACCTGTAATCTATTGCTCGAGACCATGTTTGGCCGGAATCTGGATTTGGCGTATGTCGGCTCGCATTAGCCGCGCGTTTGCAGTCTTTTGTGGTTTCAACCGTTCAAACATGTGTTATGATGCTGGTCCCATGCATTAGGGTGGGTGTCAAGGTCACCTGAAGGTCAGGTCATTAACCTTTGATGACCTCTGTTCACTTTTTCGAGTTTTGCATGTTTCTAGGCTATTTTTTTTTTTGGACCTGAATTCGAATTCAGCAACGAGTTGAACATTTACGAAGTAGTTTTGGTGTCTTCGTAACATGTTACGAAGCTGTCAGAGGCGGTTGACACGTACTACGAATACCCGGCAGGACCCCTACTGGTTGACCTGACCTGACCTGACTCGACGTGGCATAAATGCACAAAGACATCATCTGTGATAAAAACCTGCGTGATATTCGTGATCAGCACCTCGGAAAACCCCATAGCAGACACAATACGACGTTCTAACAGGTCCCGATTTTCCCGACTTTTGGGTCATTGACCTGACCTGGAAGGTCAACCAACTACCCAGGACCTTAAAATTGGCTATCATAGGCTTCCTCTCGTCACGGACAACACGCTCGTTTTTTCCGCAAAGCTTAAGCTCGATCAGAGGCCAAACGGCAGGGGGATCCGTTGGATCCCCCCCCCCCTTATACGTTCGCGGCTGGCAAAACACCAATACGGGCGAAGGTCAAAAGTTAAATTGTTCCATGAGCCCGGACGGTGCAGTTAGGCTCGGTGTCGTCACAAGGATGTTAACGGAAGATTGCAGATGATTGTCAACAATTCCTGATCAATATAATAAATTCCTCTTCCTGACAGTTCTGTTCCGGCTGTGTTGTGTCTTCGAACGGTATTGATGAGTCACCAACAACCGATCAATCAGCGTTCTGGAAAACGACCCAGCTATGAGTATATTATAATGGTTTTCCCAGCGCGCTGAGTGCGGAGGGCACGGATCGCAGCCGGGTCCAATGCTGTGTCAGTTCGGCGCCGATCCCGCGGGCCGGGATCTACGCAGGTAGTGGGCGACTTCTAACATTCCCAGCTTATCGGCGGATTACATCGGACTCTTCAGAAAACCACCTGCTTGCGTCTGGTTGTTGTTGGGCAGGCAGCATTTTTGACTTGCTAAATCATCGTGGTTAGCTACAACGCAGTTTGACTAGTTGATGCATTGGCGTATGGCAGGAGATGTTTCCGTGTTGGCATTGGAGACGTCTGATGAAATGATTCGATTGCCTGAATTTTACCTCGTCTCCTCTGGCTGCTTGGCTTACGCAACATTTAAGCTTACTGAAAATGTATTTTCCGGACTGCCTACTCATGCTGGGTCATGCTACCACTATTCCCACGTGCGTCATAGATTCGTTGGTTTATAAGGAAACTATCGATTAGGGTTACACTGTCCCACTGCTCGAAGCGTGTGGTCATTGTTTGGCGGCGTGTTCCGAACCGCCGTCAGCAGGGCTGCGGAGTCGATGGATTTTCGGCGACTCCGACTCCGACTCCGACTTCGGCTTTCAAAAACCAGCTCCGACTCCGACTCCGACTCCGGGCAGAATTGTCGACTCCGACCGACTCCAACTCCCGACTCCGACTCCGCAGACCTAGCAGGGCTGCGGAGTCGACAGAATTTCGGTGACTCCGACTCCGACTCCGGCTCGGGTTTCTAAAATCTACTCCGACTCCGACTCCGACTCCGGTCACAACTGTCGACTCCGACCGACTCCGACTCCGACTCCGACTCCGCAGCCCTGGCCGTCAGACGGTCCAGCGGAGTCCCTCGCCGGTGCTCCGGGGTCTCCGAGAGCGGTACGCTGCGCCGTGTCGAACTTAGTTCCGACATGTCACAGAGATGCCCGGGCTCATTCACATTCCCGTCACACGGATACGAACTTCATCGCCAGGCCGAACCTCCCGAGAACGCCAAGTTTACCCGGGTCCAAACAACTGCCGGCGTGGTTCAGACGTCTTTGAGATTGTTTAGATTAATATTTAAAGTCGCTGGCATGCCTGTAGTTTGATTTTTATATTTAACAAGTAAGTGGCATTTTATTGGCACGTTAATGATCATACTTCGCATCAATTATTTTCTCGGCCATTTTCGGTATCAGCATGCGAAAAGAAAAGGAAGATCACCATAGATCGAAGGTCGATTTTCCGGCTTAAAGGTAGTGTGCCAGCTTTCCTGGACCGTATGGAGTTTATGGCCCAGATAAGGAGAACCGGATTTTTAGAACTTATCCATACCTTCAAAACTCATGGAAACGTCTTAAATTCTTCAAATTATGAGTACCCCAGTGCGAAATTCGCCCCGACGGGTTGTCGGTCGTACCCCAACCACATTTCACACCACTATGAACAATAAATGCACACACTGAAATCGCTATTACCGATATGCTCATCCAATCAAGTTTCGATAAACCCGTTCACCATCATCTCCTGCGGTTTCGAACACGCCTGTTAGGTGGCTTCTGATGCTCGTCGAGGTCGGAATTTCCAAATACGCGTGGTGCGTCGGGCCGCGCGCTCTGACTTCGGCCAAGAAAAATGCGTCAGCTGATCATTGTCATTTCTGCCACTTGCGTGTGGTGAAATGGGGTCATAACTTATAAGACGGCTTTTTCATATCAATTATTTTACATAAAATCATATTTCAAACCATAAATAATGTTCGACAGCCAAATAAAAGAAACAATACCAATACGGGCTTACAGTTTAAGGCTCGACATTGTGTTGTCTACGATTAGACAGCTGATAACTCATTCCCGTACGTCGTATGGTCGTAACACTATAATGACCTTTGCTTATTGTCACAAGTGCGCCGCATTCGCGATTGTTGCCCGACGCCTGTTTGCAGGTGAGCCCACTACAGTTGTTATACATATCTAAAACCGAAAAACTTTTAGGCGAAAAAGGCACTATTCCAGGCCCATTTTTGATTTTTTTTTTGCGATATTAGGTAAAAACAGAAGCTTCTTATCCTAGGAAAAATAAAATGGGAAATCTTTCAAAGGTGGCACACTACCTTTAATCATTTTTTATTATTATTATGAATGGTCACTTTACCAGTGGAGAAATAGAGGCATAACATTGCCGAAAACACCATAGCGCATAAAAATTACTGAACTGTCGTCTGAATTGACCTCCAGGTCAACGATTAAGCCTTCAGGTTGACTCTTTGCGCAACAAGTTGAACAAGTTTGAAGTTGAACAAGTTTGAACAAGTTTTAGGCTTGAAGGTGAAAATGTTTCAAATGATTAAATGCCCATAAAGAGCCGTAAAATATTTGCCGAGCCTTCGAAGGTCGAATGGCCATATCTAAACGCGCATATTTAGCTGTACCGAAGCTGCACCTGTGCTGAGTCGTCATTAGTCGGTTATTTGTTAGGCCATATCCTTATCAAGTTTGCAAACTCCTATATAGTCAGCTTGTCAAAATAGCAAGTGCTTAACCGTGCATTATTTCAATCTTTTATTATTCTGTGACAAGTGTACCGACTTAACCCGCGCCCCACTGGGGTCTGTGTATAACACGCCCTACTGGGGGGGGGAGGGGGGGCTATTCATAGCCCCCCCTCCTAACTCCGAAACTACTGGGCCGATCGTCAAAATTCAAACGGCGTCTGATAGCCCCGGAAAAACTGTCGAGCGAAACCTAATTTCATTGACCTCGAGGTCACCGATGACGTCACAGGTCAGGTCAAAGTAAAAATTATTAGCATTTTGGCTTGTTCACATTTTGGGCTCTGGCCGCCGTCTTACAAGTCAGATCAGGCTCATTTTTGGTACACACACTCTTAAACAGATGCTCTAGATACCCTGAGGGTACCAAGCTTTTACTTTGATTTTCAGGTCAAGGTCAGGTCATCACAGGTCACGAAAATATTTTATCATGCGTCGGTCACGTGACACATGTTTTATGGTCCATTTAGGCCATAGATTTCGAATTTGATGTCGTCTGTGTCATTCGAGGTCATTTTGAGTCGAATTTAGCTTAGGTCAGGTCACTTTCAGGTCAAAAAAGGTCAAATTTTGAAGTTAAAACTTTTCAACAAAAAAGGTGTCTATTGGATGCAGTTTGAGCTCAGGAACACGATGGTGCCATTTATATTGGTGTACGATGTCAAATACGTACTGAAAAATTGATTTGAAAAATTAATAATTGTGAATTTTTTGCAATAATGCGTATAACTTGGCCATTTTTGAAGATATTTAGCTAAAACTTGCTAGAGTTAGTCATAATCAAGCGTTCTGTCACATATATTCCGGTTTTTTCGAAAAGTCAAAAACTTTTTGAAAAAAATATAAAAATACATATTTTGAATATTATTATATAAAATTTTCGAAATTTTCAAAATTTTGAAAATTCGAGATAGCAGTTTGATAGCGCGGTCAATTCTGAGTCCTTTCATGCAAAGAAATTGAATCTAGCTTAAAACCTGAGCTCTTGGGAGCGATTGCCGTGGTTCAATGTTTTGCGTCGAAATCGGCCGAACATGACGTCACTCTGACGTCATTTCCGGCCGACCTATGGTAGCTACGAAGTTCAAATTTTGACACAAGGTGTCAAATTGATGCAGCCAAAGGTACTGTAAGTTTGGCGTCGATCCGTCAAGCGGTTTGGAAGTTATTGCAGAAAAACGGGAGGGGGGGCTATAAATAGCCCCCCCCCCAGTGGGGCGCGGGTTAACATTCTATATAAGGCTATTTCGCGGATGCGGATGATAACGCCGACGTCTTGCCAACGTCTTACGTGGCCGTGTTATGAATTTTGGCTGTGATTGCGTGGGACTCCCAATCCTTACAAGTCTTATGGAGACATTTTTCAGGTGTGATTTGGTGTGGTTCAGTATCTGCCTAACTGAGTGATTCTATGTTTTATATTTCTAATTCGATGGGAATATGCATATGTTTTCTTGAGACATCCGGTGTGCTTCAGTTGTGATTTGGTAGACTCCCCAATGCTCAGCTCATCAGTCCTAACTGAAACGTTCCGTGTTTCAATCGCACTTTCTATGGGAATCCACATTAGAGATGTCAATCGGATACCAACTTTTTGGTATACCGATACCAAACCGATACCAACTCGGTATTTGGTATTTCAATCCTAATGTGCTTGGTATTTTGTTGGTATCATGAACCATCGCTAATGTTTAAGAGGCTAAGAAATCGGTAAAAGGTTGGTATTTTCCTCATGTTCCCAAGTTGGTTTGGTTTCGGTATTTCTCCACGGTTTTGGTTGGTATTTGGCAGACATGTGCATGGATCCGATAAAATGGATCTGGGATCTGATCCCACGGATCCTGATCTCGGATCCGACGGGATCATAGATCCAGCTCTGTAATTTATCGAGAGATCCGTAGGGATCACAGATCCGAGTCTCATTTTTTGCTTGAGATCCAGTGAGATCATAGATCCTCACTTATTTTTTGTCAACACATATATCCCAAAAAAGCACTTGTTTCAACTCACAAACGTTCTGTTTTAATGATTTTATGTGATCACACGTCATAATCCTGAGTTTTGTGTCACTTATTGGCATATAAACCCTTTAAAACATGGTTTCAAATGTGGTGCATAGTGGGATCCACTCAGACCATAGATCCATGTTCTTAATTTATCGTCAGATCATATGAGATCATAGATTCAAGATGTATTTTTTACGCCGGATCCGGTGGGATCATAGATCCCAACCTGTACTTTGCTTCGAGATCCACTGAGATCATAGATTCATCACTCGGATCCATGCACATGTCTGGACTATTTGGTTTGGTATCGGTATTCCGATTTTCCGTAATTGACATCACTAATCCACATAGGACTTACGAGAGCATTCCGTGTGTTTTCAGGTGTGATTCGGTGGGGCTCGGCGTGGGCGCTGGTGTGCACCGGAAGTGGTGAGCAATTTCTAGCATGTTCGATAACGTAAGGACTAAGTCATGAAAGTCAAAAGAGTACTTTTGGTGAGAAGATAAACTAGCGGCAATTACATGGCTGATTCTATTCGCGTTCCTTGCTGTCAACATGTGTGCGATATATGGTGACGTAATCAACATTATGCCGTTATGTTGCAACTTGCATGCATACCTGTGCAAAATACAGATACAATGCCATACCGGTTTGACTAGCCACCAAAAGGCTACAGGCGCTGTATTCAGTTCTGTGAACATCTGCTCATCCGTCGCCGGGCGGCTCGGCTGTGCCGCAGATTTTTCCTGTGACGGCGGCAGCCAGTGTCTGGCGCCGCGGAAGCTGTGCGACCAGTCTGCCGACTGCGCTGACGGCAGCGATGAGGGCTCGTGCGAGGCCGGCTCGCGGGTGTGTCCGGCCGGCCAGACGCCCTGCAGCGACCACCGGCTGTGCGTGCACCTCGACTGGCGCTGTGACGGCGTGCCCGACTGCCCGGACGGCTCGGACGAGATGGGATGCGCCGCACCGCAGCGCAGGTACGCACACGGGTGGTGGAGGTTTGAGTCTCTAGACGGACAGATGATGCCTGGGTTCTGACGCGGTTACCCAAGTCCCCCATATGGAGTGTTTTGGGTACCCTAGATATGGATATCTAGATACGGGTAGCCACAGTGCTATCCTCAATTATATGCATTAGGTGGTAGCAATTTGCTACCCGCATAGGCGGCGGAACGGGCAGGGCACCGGGGCACCGTGCCCCCCTTTGATTTTGGTATTTTAACATTAGCCCTATGGGCGTTGCATGGAAAGAATGAGACCAAAAGTCGGCAGTGCCCCCCCCCCCTTAATTGAAGGTGTTCCGCAACTACTGGTTTACCCGACGTTCCTGTCCACCCTAGGCTGTGTAGTGCCGGTCCTCGAGACTATCATATCCCCAGGCTAATAGAGCTCGCTCGCGACCAAACTCGCGTCTCCTTCCTCTCACAGTTCAAACTAACTCGCTGCTTCCCCAGACGCTGTGTGCCGGGCCAGGTGCAGTGTCGGGGTGACGGCCGCTGCCTGGACGTGCTGTACCGCTGTGATGGCACCCCGGACTGTGAGGACGGATCCGACGAGATAGGCTGCGCAGGTGAGCCCGTTAACTGACACAGCGTGTCCGCGGACTCTGTGTAAAACGGGTGGACAGTTGCTGGCTTCAGGCTTATTGTCAGATGCGACAAATTGACAAATGTGTATGCTTTTTTCTCCTGGAAGACAGAATGCATTACGTGTCCCTATATGGAAACCTGTCTGACTTGGTCCCTGCGCGGAATGGGGTACCCCAAGGCTCAGTGTTGTGACCCTTGCTCTTCTGGCTTTATGTCAATGATTTGCGAGTTGCTGTCACTGCAAATGTGCGAATGTTCGCGGATGACTCAAAGCTGTTCTCAGGCATGATGTGCGGACATTGCAGGCAGACCTGAACGCCCTCGTCGAATGGTCTGAGGTCTGTTTAAGCCGACCACCCATGTCTAATTATCTTCGTGTGTGTTTTCTTCCCTGCAGCGCCGTCGTCGCCGTGCGGCCGGGACGGTTTCTGGTGTCCGCACCGGTCGTTCTGTATCGCCGCGTCTCAGCAGTGTGACGGCCGGGACGACTGCGGGGATGGCTCGGACGAGTTTGGCTGTAACATCACCTGTCCTGTGGGAGGGATGAGGTGGGTAACGGGTGGCGACTGAGATTGGGCGGTAGAGACTGGGTAGCAAAGGGAAGATGCAGTTAGTGCTGCGGGGGCTGTATCAATCAGCGCTTGCAGAAAGAAGTTTTTGACTAGCGGACTGTTCTCAAATTTATAGACAATATTTTGTATCGAGGCCAGCTGAGTTTGTGACGGTAACCCCGACTGTCTGTGCGACTGCGTGTCTGTGTGACCGTGTGACTGACTGTGTTACTGTGTGTGTGACTGTTCCCAGGTGTCAGACGATGTGTATCGAGGCCAGCTGGGTTTGTGACGGCAGCCCGGACTGCGCTGACGGAAGGGACGAAGAGGGCTGTGCGACACTGGAGCCGCCGCCGCCCTGTGCCGCCGACCAGTTCACCTGTGATAGCGGCATGTGTATTCCGGTGAGCATAACTTAGGAACTCAGCGAGTTCGGAAGGGAGACGGCTCAACTCGCAGGTGCTAGGCTTAGTGGTAAGATGTTGGCTGCTAGCTACTGTTATAATTTTTATTGCAATCTATTTAATGGCTGGATTTAGCAAGTTCAAGTTCGAACTAAGCGGTACTTGTTGCGCAGCTGTTGAAAGAAGTTATCGGAGTCGCGATAATTCAGAAGTAAAGTTGTCCGTGCTTACATTGCCGGATATGGCTCGCCCACCTACCAGCCTCGACTGCCTGCGGCTGATTCCACCAGCAGCAAACTACCCAGCTGTCAGAAATATAATGTATTGAACGCTGGGGCAGCCACTCGAACTCGGGTTTTCTTGACCAACAGTCTGATGTTCCATTACCTGATTTACGGGACGGTCAGTTCCTAGGCCTGGGGATTCAACACTGCCTATGTCCACTCAGAACCAATGTAATGTTCGCTGGAACAAAGCACCGACTAATCAGCGGAGTGAGCGCTGGCTGAAGTCTCGGGGAACGACGGCCAAACAACTACCAAAGCTGAAGCGATTTTTGAAACTGATGACCGATAATAATATCTCACACAGATTGAGGACCGCTGCAACAGCCACCCCGACTGCGGACTGACTCAGTCTTGGTACTGTGACTGACTGAGTTGTTTCTCCTCCCCCCTTACAGATTGAGGACCACATGTGACAACTGACAGCTGAGATCTCTCCCCCACAGATTGAGGACCACTGCGATAGTTACCCAGCCTGCCGGACTGACTCAGTCTTGGTACTGTGACTGACTGAGTTATCACCCCCCAGATGGAGGACCACTGTGACAGCCATCCCGACTGCGCGGCCGGTGAGGATGAGCGCGACTGTGAGCCAAACTGCGCTCCCGAGCTGTTCCGATGTCCCGACGGCACGTGCCTGCCTCAGGAGCAGGTTTGCGACGGCGTGCGACAGTGCGCCTGGGGACACGGTGAGTGCGACAGTGGGCCTGGGGACACGGTGAGTGCGACAGTCAGTGTTCCTGGGGACACGGTGAGTAGGGACAGTGCGCCTGGGGACACGGTGAGTGCGACAGTGAGCCTGGGGACACGGCACGGTGAGTGCGACAGTGGGCCTGGGGGGAGTGCAACAGTGGGCCTGGGGACACGGTGAGTGCGACAGTGAGCCTGGGGACACGGTGAGTAGGGACGGTGCGCCTGGGGACACGGTGAGTGCGGCAGAGGGCCTGGGGACACGGTGAGTGCGACAGTGGGACTGGGGACACGGTGAGTGCGACAGTGGGCCTGGGGACACGGTAAGTGCGACAGTGTGGATCGGGGGGTCTGGGGACACGGTGAGTGCGACAGTGCGCCTGGGGACACGGTGAGTGCGACGGTGCGCCTGGGGACACGGTGAGTGCGACAGTGGAGTTCCTGGGGACACGGTGAGTGCGACAGTGCGCCTGATGATATGGTACTGAGTGCGACATTGCTCCTTGGGACACGGTGAGTAGGGACGGGTGGTCACTTCGCTGTTCGACAGAGCTGTGGTAGACTGGTGAACGTTGAACGGTGGATAGGCGGTCGGAGTAATGTGAACGGCATAGGTTGCTTGTTGCACAAGTCTGTGCATGGTTGACTTCGGCTAGCGGCAACGGGTGTTCTGGTAGGGCTGTGTAGCCGCGAGCCGACCGGATGCAATTATTAGGGTGGCGGGCAGGATATTGGCCGGTTCCGGGCAGAATTGGACGGTGTGGGTGTCGACGTGCTACAGCTGTCGCCGATACAGACAACGCGCGTATCGATCAGACAATCGAGTGCTAACTTTTTGTCACAATTACTGACGACCGGGGACGATTGGTCTGTAGGTGGCACCTATCTTTCATTTCTGTATTTTCACATTGAAGATGTTTTGTTTTCACGCTTCATTATTGCGCAGTTTGCCGATTGTCTCTGGTTCGGCTTGTCCTATTGCCTAATCCCCATTGCCGTATTTCCACTATGAATCATCCCTGGGTCTCAACTCTCAAGTCCCGCTATCTGACCACCCTGCTGTGTCTCCGCGTGTCCATCAGACGAGGACGACTGCGCCCACCTGGCCCAGTGTCCGCCGTCGGCCCGCTGCGAACACCACTGCATCGGCCTGCCCTCGGACACAGCACCCAACTGCACCTGCCGGCAGGGATACGCCCTCCAGGCCGACCGCGTCAGGTCAGTGGGCAATGTCGTGGCGCAGTCAATATGGTGGGTGGTCAAGATGCATGAAAGTGATACCGAGTACGATGGGTTGTTCTTAGGTCGGTATCGGTGCTCGTCAATCGTGAACAGCAGAACTATAATAGAACGTCCATTAGAGAGATGCGGAGTACGGACGATCGCTGCGTTGCAACAAATCTCAGAGACAGACATGTGCATGGATCCGAGTGATGGCTCTATGATCTCAGTGGATCTCGATTCTCGAAGCAAAATGCAGGTTAGGATCTATGATCCCACCGGATCCAGCGTGATTTTTTTTTCTGGATCTATGATCTCAGAATCTGACGATAAACCAAGAACATGGATCTATGATCTGAGTGGATCCCACCATGCACAGCATTTGAAACCAGGTTTCCAAGTGTTTCTTTGTCAACAAGTGTTTCTTGTGGTGCTCCTTACGAGCCTGAAGTGCCAGCGACAGGCCCATGGTGCCTCTGCGAGGCCGGTGATGCCCCTGCGAGGCCGTGGTGCCCCTGCGAGGCTGTGGTGCCCCTGCTAGGCCGCTGGTGCCCCTGGGCCCTGACAGGACTGTGGTGCTCCTGACAAGCCTGAAGTGTCCCCGACAGGCACGTGATGCCCCTGACAGTCCCAAGGTGCCCCTGCGAGGCCAGTGGGTGCCCCTGGCAAGCCTGTGGTGCCCCTGGCAGGTCTGTGGTGTCCCTGGCAGACCTGTGGTGCCCCTGGTAGGCTTCTGGTGCCCCTGACAGGCCTGTGGTGCTCCTGAAAGGACTGTGGTGCCCCTGGGCCCTGACAAGCCTGAGGTGCCCCTGACAGGTCCGTGGTGCCCTTGACAGGCCCAAGGTGCCCCTGCGAGGCCGGTGGTGCCCCTGGAAGGCCTTTGGTGCCCCTGGAAGACCTGTGGTGCCCCTGACAGGTCTGTGGTGCCCCTGGCAGACCAGTGGTGCTCTTGCTAGGCCGATGGTGCTCCTGACAGGCCGGTGGTGCCCCTGTCAGGTCTGTGGTGTCCCTGATAGGTCGGTGGTGCCCCTGGTAGGCCTGTGGTGCCCCCGGGCCCCAAGGGAGCATGACCCATGTGACCCCACCTTGGATCCGCCACTGGTTGGCACCCATACGAATTCCAGAAGCATCCAAAAACATTTTTTTACTACGAGCGATCGTGAAACGTAAGAAGTGAAAAGTCAGCAAAAGGTGTGTGTGTGTGGGGGGGGGGGGGGCAGTTAACATTGCTGGCCAGTGGCCCCCATTCGAAAGTGGGGGACCATTGCCCCGTGCCCCCCTGTTCCTACGCCTATGCCAGTAACCGATCAACTAATGCAAGGCCGCCTAATAAATTGTTAGTTTACGCCTTCTGCTGCGCCAGTATTGTCTCTCTTGCGCCAGTATTGCCAGTATCGCGCGCTGCCCCTAAGCTGCCACTTATTGCTTCTGACAAAGTTATCTTTCATTGGGTGGAGGAAAATTGCACTCAATAACGATGAAGCACAAATGGAAATCTTCATGGAAGGGCAGGCCAGAGAACCGTCAAGTTTGTTCTTCGGGGTGATACCTACAAATACATTAAAAAGTTCGGCAAAAAGTGGGGGGGGGGGGGACAGTTAACATTACTGGCCCCCTCCACTATGAAAAGTGGGGGGGCACCGTCCCCCCCGTCCCCCTGTTCCTACACCTATGCAGTATGATGTCACCGGATCTCAAACAAAAAATTAGCCTTGGATCTATGATCCCTACGGATCTCTCGATAAATTGAAAAGCTGGATCTATTATTTGGACGGATCCGAGATCAGGATCCGTGGGATCATATCCCAGATCCATTTTCTCGGATCCACGCACATGTCTGGTCAGAGACACGGAAATTAACCACTAAACGTCGGTTCGTGTCTCCATTCGTCCATTCCTCCCCTCACCCCACCTGACCCTCCCCACCCCTCGGTTCCCCACAGTTGTAAGGACGTGGACGAGTGCGCTCTGTCGCGACCGTGCGGTCACCGGTGTGTGAACACGGACGGCAGCTATCGGTGCAGCTGCGCAGACGGTTACCAGCTGCGCTCGGACGGGCAGACGTGTCGCGCCGGGGCGCCGCCCGCCTCCCTGCTGCTCGCAGATCGGCACGCCATCGAACAGGTTCGGGGACAAGTGCGGGGCTTCTCTGAGCACGCCGCTGCGGGTGTGGGTCGTGGGATACGGTGGCCGAAACGCTAATAAACAGCAATGGCTGCTCAATGTGGCGGCCTAAATCCTAAATCAGCGATGACTGAGTACGTAATGTAAACGTAATGTCAGTAATTTTTTTCTTTCATGTGTTTGTTTATTTACGCTCTTTCATACAGACTTCAGCCAACGGCGAGCCCACTTTTGTTTTCATTTGTGACATGATTAGCTGCTCGATCGATGGTGACGTGTTTCGATTGCCTTTTCATCGGCTGTTAAATCCGCCTCGTCCCCAGCTGACCTCTGTTCGTCCCCAGCTAACCACGAACGGAGCGCCGGCCGCGCTGACGCACAAAGGTCTGGCCAACGCCGTCTACCTGGACTTCCACTTCAACAAGGGCCTGCTGTTCTGGATGGACACGGCGCAGAACGTCATCTACCGCTCCCTCATCTCTGGGAACTCGCCGCCAACCAGTGAGTTGTCGGACGGGGCTGGGAGACTGGCAGGCTGGTGTGGGCTGTGGAACTGCGGGCATTGAGTGGTGGTTAGCGGTTTCGTACAGAGTGAATCAATAATGGTAATGTTATGCTGATGGCGATCCTAGTCATTCCACCAGCAGTGTTGGTTTGAGCTCTGCCGGTAATCTTTGCACCGTGTGTCCTCCCAGTCTGATGGCTGTGCCGTTGTCCGCTTAATTCGTGTTGTCCTTGCCGCTGTCCGCCTAATCTGCTGACTGTCGGTCAATCCATTCTCTACTGACCACGGTCGGTCTTACGGTCGTATAAAGTGACTGGAGTGTCGTCTGTCTAGTTCCTAGTCCACGCTAACTTACGGTGTCTCCCCCTCCCCCTCAGCGGTGGTGTACGGCGGCCTGCTGCACCCGGTCGGTCTGGCAGTCGACTGGCTGCACGACCTCCTCTATTGGGCTGACGAGCGGCAGAGTGTCATCGAGGTCAGTCAGCTGGACGGTCGGCAGAGGCACGCCGTCATCACCGAGGGACTGGACCGGCCGCGCGCACTCTGTCTGCACCCCGAGCGGGCGCTGCTGTTCTGGACAGACACCGGTGAGCTGCAATGCTGTTGAAACTCTGCAGAGTGTGTCGTGAGTGTGGCGGTCATGGCCGTCTGGTGTCTTGGTATCAGACGTTTTGCCGCATCGTATGTCAGTCTGTTCACTGCTAATGTTGGCGTGAAATGTAGCGAAAAGATGGAATGCAAGCGGTTGTGTCGCGTGCTGGGTAGTATCTTGCCGTCGCTGAGCTTACTTTGACGACAGGGTTAGGTCGTACATATTCGTCCGTCAGTCTTGGCGTTTCGGCAGGCGGGAGGCTCGCGTTGACAGTCTTAGCCCTAGAGAGTAATCGTCGGGCTGATTTTGCCGGTCTCCTTCCCTGACAGGCGAGGAGGCTCGTATCGAGCGTTCGCACGGTGACGGCGGCGGCCGGCGGACCATCATTAGCGAGGATCTGTTCTGGCCGAACGGACTGACCATCGACTATCCGACGGAGCGTCTGTACTGGAACGACGCCAAGCTGAACAGCATCTCCAGCTGCCTGCTGGACGGCTCTGATCGGCAGCAGGTGAGGCGTGAGATAGATGCTGGACTTGGAGACAGACAGAACAGACGAGGGAACCGCAGACAGCGGGGGTGGGTCGTGGACAGGCTGTGAAATATCGGACATGTGAAGCTGTATTTAATCCGCTGCAATGAGCCGAGGAACCGGATCAGCAAATAAATAAAGCCACCCAGTGCAGGACTGTCCTCAGTAGCAGCGCTTACAGCTTTACAGCCCATTTGGCTCCCTTGCCCACCGACGCAACATTCCAGTTGCTATCTGCACCCGAGGTCTTAGAATGAGGATTGCTTTTTGACTGGTGATGGTGATTTCTGAGTACTGTTGCTGGTGGTGACTGGTGGCTATTGGTGGCGGATACTGCCTCACGGGTTTTGGCTACCAGCTGGGTGACGGCTAGACTGTCTCAACCGACGGATGTAGTCTGGTGCTTGTTGGTGACGGGTTGGGCCCCTTTTCTCAAGCCGTAATACTCAGCTTGTGATGGTGCGCCTATAAGCTGTGACGCTGAGTTTCTCGTGTTGTAGAGGTCCCTCTATGACGGTCCGGTCCCATGTGTCGCGTGTCTCGGGTTTGGTTTGTCCCGTGTAATGGCTCCCGTCCCGCGAATGACATGTCCGGCCTGCACGGCGGCCGGTTACAGGTGGTCCGTCGCGGCGCGCCCCACCCGTACGGACTTACCGTGTTCGAGGACACTCTCTTCTGGACCGACTGGAAGACGCACGCACTGCACGCGGCCGACAAACGACACGGTACACGGCGCACGGACCGCCGCTCACTGGTGCATGTTGATGTACCGCATGCCACTGTACGTACACATGCCTGCCCATTGACACGTCTGGTCATGATCCACCCACCACGAACTGCTCACTGGTGCATGCACCGCCTACCCGTACGCGCTCACTGTAGCCGCCGACAACGTTATTGTGTCATTGCTTCTTGTGTCTTTGGAGCACACCCCCTTTTTGTTGGAGCACCGGAAAGTGGCTACACTCAGTCAGGACACCGGTCCTGACCCGCCCACCGGCGCACGGACTGTCTGCTGGTGCATGGTCCGCCTACTCTCTCACTCCCGGCCTACAGCATGCCAGCCCGAATGGTCTATGGAGTATGGAGCCTACCGCAGATTACCCACCAGCATCTGGACCACTCTTCCTTGGTGTGCACTCCGCCCATTAACTGTCGGAGCAGTGGCTGTTGTAACAGCATGACTTACTTTACCTCTTACATGAACCTGGCAAGCTGCGAATATCGGAGTTCCCTGGTCGACTTTTTACTCAGTGTCTACTTTTTTTTGTTATCGACGCATGCAATGACCGAGTCTTCTAGCATGACGTTGGCTGTGATATTGCCGTGTGCGCATGTCCAGTTTTTCGTATGCTGGGCGTATCGGACTAATCCAGCATACCAATCATGCCTTATGTTTGATTTACGTGATGAAATGCTCGTTCCAGCGTTTGGTTGCATGCGATCCACTATGTACGGTTATATAGAGACCGGGGAAACCCAGTTTTCAGGCTATGCTTGTGCTGAATGTTCCACATTAGTCAGAGATTCCCACAACAAACTACATGTTTTGATAATGGATGGCCTTTCCCATGCTAGGATATTGTTTACTTCAGTGGCTGGATTTTCATATCTGAAACCTACGTTTGGGTCTAAGTATGTTGTAGCAATGTTTTGACGTGATTAATTGTGTATTGTGTGAATGATGTTCAACAGGTGCATTTCTAAAGCATTTGTGAATGGATCTAAATTCCTCTGTATTTTATGATGGCGCATGTACTAAGCTTTCGGAATTTCGAAGCAATATCTGTCGACTGTCAAGGTGTTATACTTTTGACAAGACATCCTACTTTCGGGAAGCAACGATACGTGTTTATGCGGAAAGGAAAGGCCAGGTCGCCGTTTTATTTTTAGTAGGTATGCAGCTCGCGTGAGCAGATAGGTACGCGTTTTCAAAGTTTTTTTTTCATTGTTTGCCTTTGCGCGCTAACGTTTTGTTCGCTAATGTGTTGAATGATTCTTTACGTCTGCCTAAGTTGCGGCTTATGATCGAAATGGCAACTGACCTCCCCCTCCCTCTGGTTTTCTGTGAACAGGGAACCGTGCCCACGCGCTCCGTACTGGTCTGGAGCACCCAATGGATGTGCGCGCCGTACACCCGCTCCGCCAGCCGGGCGCACGCAGTCGCTGCCTGCCCGCTGCCGGCTGCTCCCACCTGTGCCTGCCGCGGCCGGACGGTCATACGTGCGCCTGTCCCAGCGGCCTACGGCTGAAAACTGGAAGGTGAGAGCTTCAGGATGGCGGAACAGCGCGGTAGGCACGATGGGGTGTTACTTTTGGTTTGTTAGGGCCTAGATGTGTTGCAAATCGAGGATAGTTTGTCGCTAGGGCAGAGCATTTGCATAACTACACCGTTTGCATATGTATTGTGCTGGGAGTTCACCTGACTATGTGCGGCTCTCGCAGGTCTAAGCGGTAGGTTTTGCCTTTTTACATTTCCGGCTATATCTCAGAAACTAATCGATATACGATGAAGCCATTTTAGAGGATAATGACAGGCAGTTATGTACGAATAAATTGATCGCATCTTCAGCAGAAGATATATCCAAAAATTCACTAAATTTAATAGGGGCAAAATCTACCCGCTAAAATCCGCGAGACCTGAACAGTATGTCTAAAAAATGTCCTGTCGCGGTCGCCACTATGCGGCGCTGGTGTCGCGAGCCGGTAGTTGGCCGAATCCGCACCGAGAGACTACGTATTCCCAAGCGCTGGTTGAGAGCTACGTAGCGGCCGACAGTAGCACAAGCTCCCGAAACCTCGTGACTCGACCCCGGTTGGAGGGAGGGGAGCGGGCAGGGGAGCGCGCCTAGGGAACGGGAGGGGTAAGCCGGCGGCTGCCGCGGCCAATAATGGTCAAGGGGTCACACAGCAAGCGAACAAGTGCTCGTGTGGGTTCGTGGGGATCGTGAAGCTTGTGCCTCTAACTCTAGCGATGCATGGATGCCACGTTCGGGGCCGCGTCTGAGCCAAACACGGCAACCCCGACAGGCGTGAGGTCAACCACGGCAAAATAATGGTGTTGAAAATGGAGACATGGAGACAATGTGCCAATGCAAGCCTTTATGACCAGAAACAGCTTTTCTGAGAACACAGAGGCCGGTATTGAATAATGATATCCGGATCGAAATTAACAATGACTTATTAAAAACCGAGCTAATATCGCTGCAAAAACAAGCCAAGATATTCGTTAAATGGAATTCATACGTAATTGAATTAAACTATCCTAAATAAAGATTTTAAAAGCTTTCTATCATTGACATTTGTCATTACATAAATGGCATGCAATAAAACAAGATTCAAAGATAGTCAAATAACATTGAATATCTTCCGTATTCAAGCAATAAGCAAGCAAGGACAAACAGTGGCGCGGGAATATTTTCTGGCGGGGGGGGGGGGGAGGGCACATCTGATATTTCCAGGACTCCTTCAGAATAAAGATCAACTTAGGGTACCCCCCCCCAAATATAGTTTTCTCACCGTTTTTAGGGCACTTACTTTTCACCCTTTGTTTTTTCACAAAAGAAAACAAAAAACATTTGTAAAAAGTAACAACTTAGGTATTCCGTCTCAGCTGAGTCAAGAAATCGCCCTTTTGGTAACCTGAAACAAAGGTTTAATTATATATACATAGATAACGCATCCGACCATCGTCCAGATTTTGAACCAACTCATGTTGAATCTTACCAACACTTCCCTGTCCAGGCTAACGGTCACTCGTCCCAGACTTATTGGAGAGTACAGTTCTATCAGGAGCATGTCTCTCCAGTCCCACAGTCCCCGAGGGGTTAACAGTTAGGGCCTATAGAATCTGATTATCAATTTCCTAACACTTGGACCTTTTTGACGGCCGCTTTGGTGTCACACATTTTTGGCCATTTGTCTCCCTTCTGAGGGCTGACTGGAAAGAGGATGAACTTGCAGTGATTGACCCCCGACTAATCATCGACATCACTTGTTGACTGTGCGCACTGCCCGTGCGTCCACATAGCGACAGACATTGGCTACAGACTGGTTGGCTACAGCCACCTACAATAATCCGGAATGGCCCACTTGATAAATAAATACCGAGATGTAGGTAGGGGAGAGTGGGGTAAGATGCCCAGGGTGGGAAAGACGCCCCACCCCCTCTAGCGGCGAAAAAAAAGAATCAGACCTGGAAAGTAATGTTCTTAGCGTAAAGCGGAAGCCTGCCTTGTTAACTGCACAAAAATTTGCGAAGCTCAGTTGGGCAACGGCTGGCTGATGATTGCATGTTTTTTATTTGCTGCTTTCAAGAAATATTTTGGTGTCAAAACATTGTGAATATCAAAGAAGGTAAATAATTTTTGCGTCCCTTGCTATAGTCGTGATACATTAGCATGCGTGTACTGTGTCCCAAACAGTTTGTTTCAGGGTGTAGTTTTATGGCTAACGAATTGTACTGATTTAATGTCACTTCGGTACCTTGGGATAAGATGCCCCCTGTCCTGATGGGGAAAGACGCCCCCCCCCTAAATCCGTAGGCTGTCCTTCAAACAGTCCGTCAAATCATTTATTACATACTTGTGATGTAGACAAAAGCCGATCTGGGACTATTGAGAGTCCAGTACGGTCGGGTGCTCCCCATGCCGGTCTTTCGGCCCACATAGCGACTTTTTGGGCGGCATCTGACTCTGAGAGCCCTCACGACGGCCTCTGTGGGCCCCATTAATGGCTCCAGGGCCCCTCACGACATCCTTTGAGGGCTCCCATGTTGGCCACACGGGCCGTGCTGGCATCTGAGGTCCCCACGATGGGCTAGAGGGCCCCCAGCATCATGAAGACCTATAAGAGCCCCACAGTGGTCTCCAAACGCCACCACCGAGGCTTGTTTGGCCGCGCTGGACTATGATGGCCCTAACGATGACCTCTGAAGCCCCTTACGACTACTTTTGAGGGCCCTTATGATGACGTTTGGTGTCTACTGCAGGCTCGAAGGGACTACTGATTCGTTCAGGCGATTCACGTGCCCATTTATGTCAGTTATAGTGCAGGGGGCATCTTACCCAACGCCAGGGGGCGTCTTTCCCACCCTGTGGGGTAAGATGCCCCCTTTCACTTTTTCAGGAAAATGCTTAATAGCAAAAAAAGTTATAATATTTCAGGCACGAAAGTGTGATATTTTTTGAGAAAAATGATGTCGGCTTCCGTTGAAACTCCAAGTTTTTGCTTTCCCATCGTCATTTTCGAATAATATATGACATAGCAAAACCCTGGGCATCTTTCCCCACTCTCCCCTACTGTATTGAAGACCTCATGTCGCGGCGTCAGACGTCTCTACAGGAACTGAACTCTCTAGCAAAAAATGTTATATCTCAAGAAAAAAGTCATTGTGAAGCAGATTGTCAGTTGCATTGGCAACCAAATAAGCTAATTTACGATTTAATTTGCACATGTTGTGAAGGAAGAGAACTCATAGAAAATTTAAGTGAGAACGAACTTATGGGACACCCTGTAGTGCCGAATATTGGTTGAATCATCAGCTCACATTGTCCAAGATTAGGAAGTACACATTCAACGTCGATAAGGGTAGTTCACGCTGCATCTGCCCGCTGACGCTGACGGCGGTGACAAACACCCCTGGTTGGACGACATCCGGAATCCTGAAATATTTCGATGGGCTACTCACGGCATCGGATCAGTTCCTCGTGGTATCGCACTAGTTCCCCACGGCATCGGATCAGTTTCACAATCCACGGGGTACATGAACACTGAACAGTTCCCAATGACACCTGAATATTAGACTACTCGTAATAATATGACATCGGACCAGTTCCGCGCGGCATCGGATCAGTTCCTCGCGGTATCGCACCAATTCACCGCGTATCTGAGCAGATTCACACGGTATCGCACCTGTCCCTCGAGACAGCAGATTAGTTAGTTCCTCGCAGGATCCGAACAGTTCCGACCAGTTCCGGCGCCGGAGGAGTGCTGTTGTCCTGTCGGATACAAAGGGACCATTCTGGTTATATAAGCCCTTGACCCGTCCTTAGTTTCCCAGGGCGAGTATAAGAGACTGCGATGCCATAACGTCACCTTTCAAATGCATTTTTCCGTAAATCGTTATTCCGACTAATGAGTATGACTATCTAGCATGAAACCACTAGACAGTCATAGCAATTGAGTCATGCTCATGCTATCAGCAGAGGTTCTGTTAACATGTCTAGAAAATAAGCAATAAACATATCAATTGTCATCTACCCGTGTCTCACCTTCATCGGGATCCTATGGAGCCGGGACCTGCAGAGGCTCTTACTGGTTCTGTTATCGGAACAGGTACGGCAGTAGCTCCCATTGGTCATTCCGCGACCTTTTCACCCGATTGTACACGTCCCTCACTCGGTCATACAGGAGCAGTTGCCGCACTCTCTTGTTCCAAAGATAAGCCAGCGTGCGGAGCTCAGTCTCAGTCTCCTCGGCCAACCCGTCCTGCAGCGTGGCCACGGCGTCGCCCACTCGAATAAGTGCCAGGTCCTCGCGACACTGGTCTAACGAGTAGGGAGTGGTGTAGTTGTGTTTGAATCTGGCAGCGTACACCTGGTCTTTTCGACGCCACCGGACGAGTTTCTGTGGGCTGGAGTGACCGACGGCCCGCAGCAGCAGGTCGGGCTGCAGCAGCAGCTCAGCTCTGCCTCGCGGTGTGTCCAGCGGCGCCGTCATCCCGGCTGGCCGACAGTCGGCCGGGAGCTGAAGCTGACTGTTCCACCAGGCGAACACCGCGGCAGTGTCGCCCAGGAGGTACTCCAGGTCTCGGTCGGTGAGAAGAGCCAGCAGCGGCGCGGCGTCCAGGGACACCAGGTCCTCAGCGGGAGTCTCTTTCAGCTCACCGAGGTGAGAGTCACCCAACTCCTCACTTTTCTCCTCGTAGGACGTTCCATCGGATGTCAGATCCGTCGGATCCACCACCAGCCACGCCATGAGCAGTAAGCACTGCTGTGAGTACAAACCAGAGTCTCTTCTGTACACCCGCTGTAGGAGACGATGCTGTCCCGCTGGCCCCAGTGCGGGGAGGAAGTGGTTGTGCCAGCTCTCCCAGCACGGTGCGTCCGGTCGGAACAGCGTCCCAAAGAACACCGCATTGCGTACCATCTGTCGCCCCAGCCGGCGGCGTAGCTCCAGCTCCGGAAGAGGTTCCAGGTCTCCATGCATCAGGACGTCCAGCGGCAGAACACGGATGCAGCAGGTCAGGAGGAGGCGGTCTGCGCGCTCCCGCATGACACGGACCGCAGTGATGATGGCCTGTACGTCGTCCCAGGTGAGTTCCGCCACGAGATTGATCGCGGGCCAGAAGAAACAGGGTATGGCGCCAGCACTGAGGTGGTCCTCCAACCAGTCCAGAGCCATGTAGACGCCCTCGCTGACTCCCGTCCACACCTCACTCCGGGTATCCTGTACTAGCCAGAGTACGGCATTTTTGATGAAGTACGACTTCAGCGTGCGTTTGTCGCTCTGCTCAACAGGCATGCTTTCTTTCATGATCTTCTTCATGCTCTTAAGTGTGATGATGGTGGCGTGCTGCACTGGACTGAGGAGGCGGACGGCCACCACCTCTGCTCTGGAGAAGGACACACGCCACTCTATCATCTCGGTGGCACTGCCGGGCATGCCGGTCGGCACCAGGTGCACGCCGAACCGACACAGGTCGTCTCGCACCGCTCTCGGCGGAAACTCTGCCTGGCGATGCCGTCCTTGGAACTCCTCCTGATGGGGCCACCAGTTTTGCAGACGCTGACAGGGAACGTGGTCCTTTCCGCCGTCCCTGTGCTCACGATTTCTGAAGTTGACCGCCGGACCGGGGCGGGCGAACTCGGCGCCGGTCGGGTACAGGATCTGACAAAACTCCCACATCAGCGTTCTCACCGACTGTGCCGACGGAGCCGACGCCGCCCGCTCGTGCTCACACCGGACCGTGGGCGTCCAGTGCAGGGTGACGAACCCCGGCCGGTCGGTGGGCCGAACCCACAGCTGCGGCGCCTCGCTCAGAGACACCCGGCTCGGCGGATCCCGGCTCACCACTTTGGACCTTGCACCGAAGTCCATCTCCAGCATTAAGTCATGGTCGGAGACAGACCGACCACCAATCACCCCATCGTCCAGTCCCTCTGCTCGACTGCCCGAGCGATTAATGCTTACCACTCGAGTTCCCCGTTCGGGACGACACAGCCTACACAGCGCCGCCTCCGCAGACTCCCGGTCCGGGGGTTCAGGCTCTTGGCCCGTTCTAACAGTCTCTTGTTCCTCGCTTTCGGTGATCCGGTCGGCTGACCTAGAAGCAGTCTCCCTGTCGGTCTCTCGTGTCTCCGTGTTGGTCTTTAGGGGTTTCCCTCTGGTCTGTAGGGACTCCAATGCCTTCTGCAGCTCCCTGCTGGTCTGTCGGTTGATCAGCGTTTCCATCAATGGCCGGCTGACAATCCAGAGGATCGCGTCGTCGAGCTCCTGTCGCGTTACACACGCCTGCAGGGCGGACGACTCCATGTTCAGCACACTTTTCTCGAGCAGCACGGTGTCGAACAGCAGACGGCGGCATACTGAGTCAGGACCGAGCCGCGCCGACAGCAGATCCTCCGGAGCACATTGTGCGGCACCGGACGGCTGGTCCTCCCGGCCACTGTCCTCCTGGTCCGTCTGGCCACTGTCCTCCTGGTCCGTCTGGCCACTGTCCGCCTGGTCCGTCTGGCCACTGTCCGCCTGGTCCGTCTGGCCACTGTCCTGGTCCGTCTGGCCACTGTCCGCCTGGTCCGTCTGGCCACTGTCCGCCTGGTCCGTCTGGCCACTTTTCTCCTGGTCCGTCTGGCCACTGTCCTCCTGGTCCGTCTGGCCACTGTCCTCCTGGTCCGTCTGGCCACTGTCCTCCTGGTCCGTCTGGCCACTGTCCTCCTGGTCCGTCTGGCCACTGTCCTCCTGGTCCGTCTGGCCACTGTCCTCCTGGTCCGTCTGGCCACTGTCCTCCTGGTCCGTCTGGCCACTGTTCTCCTGGTCCGTCTGGCCACTGTCCTCCTGGTCTGTCTGACCACTGTCCTCCTGGTCCGTCTGGCCACTGTCCTCCTGGTCCGTCTGGCCACTGTTCTCCTGGTCCGTCTGGCCACTGTCCGCCTGGTCCGTCTGGCCACTTTTCTCCTGGTCCGTCTGGCCACTGTCCTCCTGGTCCGTCTGGCCACTGTCCTCCTGGTCCGTCTGGCCACTGTTCTCCTGGTCCGTCTGGCCACTGTCCTCCTGGTCCGTCTGGCCACTGTCCGCCTGGTCCGTCTGGCCACTGTCCTCCTGGTCCGTCTGGCCACTTTTCTCCTGGTCCGTCTGGCCACTGTCCTCCTGGTCCGTCTGGCCACTGTCCTCCTGGTCCGTCTGGCCACTGTCCTCCTGGTCCGTCTGGCCACTGTTCTCCTGGTCCGTCTGACCACTGTCCTCCTGGTCCGTCTGGCCACTGTCCTACTGGTCCGTCTGGCCACTGTCCGCCTGGTCCGTCTGGCCACTGTCCTCCTGGTCCGTCTGGCCACTGTCCTACTGGTCCGTCTGGCCACTGTCCGCCTGGTCCGTCTGGCCACTGTCCTCCTGGTCCGTCTGGCCACTGTCCGCCTGGTCCGTCTGGCCACTGTCCTCCTGGTCCGTCTGGCCACTGTCCGCCTGGTCCGTCTGGCCACTGTCCTCCTGGTCCGTCTGGCCACTGTCCTCGTGGTCCGTCTGGCCACTGTCCGCCTGGTCCGCCGGCCCCGCCACTGCCCGCCGGTGACTCATGAGTCATGAGCTGCTCGCTGCAGCTTGCGACTCAGTGGTTCATAATTCACTACTTACGGTCCATGAGTACTCGTAAATCATTGGTCCGTAGACCGCAGCTCACGGATGAATCACAAACATGAGTCATTCATGCATCATAACCCGCAACCGGCTGCTCATGAGTTTTTTTGACACTCTTGATAGTTGATTTACCGCAACGGATGCATTTCGACAGATGGCTCACAGCTCAGCACTCATATGTGGTTCAAAACTTAGCTGCCTCTTTTTTCTTGTCACAAGGCTTCAACTTTTCAAGCCCAATCTTTTGAGTGATGCTGGATGCATATTGCATAACGCTTTACCGCACAGGCTTCATGGGAGAGGTAATCTGAGATGGACACTGATTGCACAATGCGCAGTTAACACATCACTCACAATCCACGCCACTCACGTTCAATCCGTGGATAATTTGCATGCGAGTTGCGACTCACTGATCACACATCACTCGCCGAACAACACCGGCCTGTCCACGGCGCCGGTACGGTCTGCACTGCAGGACGTCTGTCCAATGCCATATATAGGCGTCCGTCCGGCGGAAACGCCCCTCCCCTGCGAGCCGGCCGAGAGGGGGCGGTAGAGCACAGGCCAAAACATGCACCGAGTCCCAGCACCGCAGATCGGCCTGCAGCGCCCTATCGCCCGTGTAACGGCTATCGCTATCTGCACCGTGACGAGACATAAGTACACCGCCGCACAGTGGAAGAACCCCCCACCGTGCTGAGACATAACACCGCACAGTGGGAACACCACTCAGCCAGGGCTGCGGAGTCGGTGTCGGATCGGAGTCGGTTGGAGCCTACAGTTCTGACCAGAGTCGGAGTTAGAGTCGACAGCTCTGACCGGAGTCGGAGTTGCAGTCGATAGCTCTGACCGGAGTCGGAGTCACCGAAAATTAATCGACTCCGCAGAGGTTGAAGTCGGTCAGAGTCGACCCGTAGCCGGAGTCGGAGTTGGAGTTGATTTTTGAAAGCCGGAGTCTGAGTTTGAGTCACCAAAAATCTATCGACTCCGCGGCCCTGGATGAAATTTTATCAAAATATGAGAGACGGTGTTATTTCACGATTTTTTGGTCGTCTGTCGTGGAATGCCCCAGGTACCTGATTCCAGCCTCTCGATGACGAGACCGCTGTAATCGGACAGATCAACCGATACTCCGGCGACTCGATGGCGAGGTTAGCCGGAGCCGACTGGTCGCACCCCTGTCTGAGCGGAGACCCCGCACCCGAGCCTCGATGGCGAGACACGGGGAACGAGTTTGTTGAAGCTCAATGACTCGATGGCGAGACACTGTGGCCCAGGACTGCGGAGTCGGAGTCGGAGTCGGAGTCGGAGTCGGTCGGAGTAGACAGTTCTGCTCGGAGTCGGCGTCGGAGTCGCCGTCGCCAAAATCTTACCGACTCCGACTCCGGAGCCTGCTTAGCTCCATGTCATGCCCTGCACCTGTTTCCTTGACGATACTACGCTCTGAACCTTTCCAAATAAGCTTTTGTCGAAAAAATGCCGAAACAGCGCTTTCAGCAAAAAAGCAGAAGATAGCGGATTCGCCAGAACCTGGCGACCGCCCTCGAACGCTGCGCCAGCGCGCTGGCACGCTGCAGCGCGCGCGCCGTCCGGACGATGAAACAAGGCCCAGGTATCACCCGGTGCCGAGCGTGTGTCCCTCTGCCTCTCCTGGTAGCCGTGGTATTCACAAATAAACCGCCTCCCTCTCTCTCTCTCTCTCTCTCTCTCTCTCTCTCTCTCTCTCTCTCTCTCTCTCTCTCTCTCTCTCTCTCTCTCTCTTTCTCTTTCTCTTTCTCTTTCTCTTTCTCTTTCTCTTTCTCTTTCTCTTTCTCTTTCTCTTTCTCTTTCTCTTTCTCTTTCTCTTTCTCTTTCTCTTTCTCTTTCTCTTTCTCTTTCTCTTTCTCTTTCTCTTTCTCTTTCTCTTTCTCTTTCTCCCTCCCTCCCTTCCTCCCTCCCCACCTCGGCAGATTCAGCCAAGTTACCAATCAGCCTACCGTGGGAGAGCCAAACCACGGGACATATTTTTTAGACATACTGTAGGATGGACTATGGTGGACGATGTTGTGCTAACTGCTAACTGCGTAGGAAGTGACCTTACGGTGGTGGCTACTGGCTCCTGCTATAACGGTAGCTTTCGGTTACAGCCCGGCGTCCTTTGCCCCATCCACTGTTGCCTCACTCGCCGCTCTGCTTCTAACCTAGCCCGTCTCTTCCTCCAGCACCTCTGACTGCGAGTCGGAGCCGGCCACCGGTCTTCTGGTGGCCTCCAACGGCACGCTTCAGGTGGCACCAGTGCTGGGCGGCGGCCGGTGGCACCTGGTACCGCTGCTGGGCCCCGGCCGGCCGTCGGCGGCCGCCGCCGACCGCCGACACACGCTCTACTGGGCGGACGCGGACGGTGGTTGTCTGCGCAGCGCCTTCTGGAACGGATCCCAGCACCGGTGCCTGGTGGACGCCAACCTCGGTGGGTGCTGGACTCTGGAGGGATGCCTGGGGCTTCTGCTGGATGCAGGGATGTCATGTTTGAGGCGATACTGAACAGTGCGATTCGTGGATGGCGTGTTTCGTGATGACTTGACCATGACTGTCGTCTGTCTCCATGCTGAATTTTGATTCCTATCGAATTCTGCCGTGCAATGGCAGTCTGACCTCACATAGTAGGTTTTGCAATGCAGTTTTATTTTTCACCTATCGTCGCTTTGGCTCGGTAATTGGTAATAGTTGGCGCCTCAGCTGACTGCTCGAGTTTGCAGACCTATTCCTCTGTGCCCTAGTGATGCGCCGTGTCGGCTGTACCCGATGCATGCTTTCCTGTGTCCGCTGTACTCGCCGTTTAGTGCGTACTCCGAGTTCTCACCGCGCCGTACCCGTTCTCCAGGTAACATCACCGGCCTGGCGGTGGACTGGCTGTCGGGCCTGCTGTACTGGGCTGACGCCGGCCTGCGGCGGCTAGAAGTGGCCCGGACCGACGGCCGACACCGGCGGCTGCTGGTGGCCGACGGTATCGACAGCCCCACCTCGCTGCTGCTCAACCCGACCGGTCAGTGGCCAGCTGGTGGTCTAAGGGTGATTTTGAGTCCCCATTTGCGGTGCCAGGGTTATCTGCGATTGGTCTGAGTCCCAGACTGATCAGTTTGCCATCTGCGGTGAATGGATTCGTCGGTTGACTAGTCGAGTCGGTCCCCGACTAATTATTCCGTCGAGTTTTCAGACTGGTGTGATCCCAGACTGAGCAGTCCCTTTCAACCTGTGAGTGTGTGGTTAATGGTTTTATTCGTATATGGTGTGCTGTTGCAGATTGTTGAATCTGTTCCGTACCGGTCGTAATGTTGACTGTCCTGTCTTGCGCTGTTTGTGATGCTGCTATGTTTGTTCTTTGTGATGATGTGACCTGGTGTGACCTGCCTCTCCTTCTACAGCCGGTGTGATGTTCTGGTCGGACGCCGGCGGCTCCTCTGCCCGTATCGAGCGGTCCGCCATGGACGGCTCGGGTCGCTCGGTCCTGCTGCGCGGTGGACAGCTGGCGGCGCCCACTGGACTGGCTCTGGACGAAACCGCCACCACAATCTACTGGTGCGACGAGAAACTCGGTACGGCATCGTTCGCGGCACGAACTTGAGTTCGCTTGTATCCACTAGCGACCTTGTACTGGGTAACGTGGAACAAATAATATCAGCAACTTACAGACGGATATGAACTGTGGCTCGCTTTGGTATTTTGCTGTTTTGCTTTCCTTTGATGAACTAATGCGTGAATATTATGCGACAATCGTCGTTCCTGGGCAGCCAGCTGGTGAAATGGTATCTACGGTACGGACCTATTCGTACAATCCCTGTGCGCGGCAGCGTTTTCTCAGCTCTGACCTCCGTCTCCCCTCCAGGCACTGTGAGCGCGGCGCGTCTGACGCCGTCGGGCGGCGCCGGTCCGGTCCGCACCCTGTACTCGGGTCAGCGGCGGCCCGTGGCACTGGCCGCCGCCTCTGGACGCCTCTTCTGGCTGCTGGCCGGAGCAGAGACGGTGGTGAACGCCAGCGGCAGCCCCGGCGGTCCGCCGCCGACCCCACTGTCAGCCGCCCTGGGCCCGCCGCTGGCTCTGGCGGTGCTGGGAGCGGGACACGGCCCCGGTGACGGGGAGAGCCCGGTCGGTCCGTGCGGTACGGATAACGGCCGCTGCTCGCACCTGTGTCTGCCGACTCCCAACGGACCCGTCTGCAGCTGTCCCACCGGTGAGAAGAGGACGCTGGGTCGAAGGAGAGTCATACCAGTAGCTTCGCTCATCCCGGGCTTAATTAAGATTCTGTCACCAGCACAAGACAGCTGCTATTGTTTTTACAGCTTTTATTGCAAAAAAATGTTGCTCCACACATTCGTGTTGCATAAAGCATCAGCTACGCGCAGTTTGCAATCCTGGGTGGATATGTGTGGTTCAAGTCGTATTTTGCCTAGCATTAGCTATGCGCTGCTAGCTGTCGTGTCCCGAATATGTTAAGGCCGCCGTCCACTGTGACGGAATTCCGTCCGGAGTCCGTCAATAATGTCGCCGCACGCTGACCGCATCCGGACCGCAGACGGAAAGCTCACGGACACTGGCGAACACTTTGCGAAGAGCAGTTATCAGTTATTACAAAAGAAAATATAGCAATTTACTGGCATAACATAGTGCTGCCATGTCAAGGAAATTATGTTTACTCACTTCATCTTGAAAGAGTTGAAATTATTTCTTAAATTTGCAATTTAAAACTCGAAGACGGAATACAGTCCCTGCCCGCGTCCGTTCCGCTTGCGTTCTCCGCAGAAAACTTCAACATGTCGGACTTTGTTATTTCGTTTCCGTGGCAACCGCTTCCGAAACGCATGCGGAGAGCTGACGGAAAATCAACAGCTGATTGCCGTTCGGATGCGGTCCGCACGGAGCGCACACGATTTTCGTACGGACCGGATGCGCCCATAGGGTTCTGTGTTAAATTCCGTACGGACCGCAAGCGTTGCGCACAGTGGACGGCGGCCTTTACTCTCTTCTGACCGCGCTATCGCCGCTCCTTGCCACAGGCGTGCCGATGTCTTCTGACGGCCGGAGCTGCCAGTCGGGCCCCGCTCTCAGCCTGGTGTTCAGCCGCGGCTGGGAGGTACTGACTGTTACCACACCCCTCTGTTTCACAGGTGTACCGATGTCTTCTGACGGCCGGAGCTGCCAGTCGGGCCCCGCTCTCAGCCTGGTGTTCAGCCGCGGCTGGGAGGTACTGACTGTTACCACACCCCTCTGTTTCACAGGTGTACCGATGTCTTCTGACGGCCGGAGCTGCCAGTCGGGCCCCGCTCTCAGCCTGGTGTTCAGCCGCGGCTGGGAGGTACTGACTGTTACCACACCCCTCTGTTTCACAGGTGTACCGATGTCCTCTGACGGCCGGAGCTGCCAGTCGGGTCCCGCTCTCAGCCTGGTGTTCAGCCGCGGCTGGGAGGTGCGCCGACTCTCGCTGACGGAGCCGGCCTCCGTGGATACGGTGCTGCCCCTGCCGCGCTCCGCACACGTCACCGCCATGGCCTGGGACCCGCGCACAGGTATAGTTCGGCAATCCACCACCCTGGGACCCGCGCACAGGTGAGCATTTTTTTACAACATCGTGCTCCACTGAACTGAGACCTGCTGGAAGATGCGACTGTTCAGTGTGTCATCACACTAGGATTGAGAGCCTTGTCTGGTGAATACTTGATGGTACCCGTAGACATTGGACAGTGCAGACACTACATACTGCGACTAACCACCGTCTAGTTTTTCAGACCGCATTTTGCACGCCAGTTGTTGCCGCTTCTCTGAGACCGCCTGACAATCTCTTTTCTGTCAGACCGCCTGCTATACGCTGACGCCGGTGGCGGCCGGCGTCGAATCATCAGCAGCTCCATGGACGGACTCAAGTCTCACGTCATCGTTGCACACGATCTGGGTGACGTGGCAGACATAGTCATCGACGACATCGGCGGCAAGGTGGGTGGATGACTCCCGAGAGGCCAGAGTGGACTTGCTCCAGCGTTCATTGATCCTGGGCTGTGGGTTATATTGTTTTGTGATGTGAGCAGGGACTCGCCTGTATGCCATCACGATGTGTTGACCCACCGTTGAGCCCGTAGCGTGCTGCGTGTGTCGTGCGGTGCTGCTTGTGCTGGATTTTGCTGACGTGTTTTGTCAGCAAATCCATGGTCTGGATTTGCTGTGCGTTACCATGTGCTGTATCTGCTGACGAGTGTGCTCGTGTGCTGTCAGTTGTGCTATATGCTCTGTGGATAACTGATGTATTCTGCAGATATTCTGGACGGACCGGACGCGTAATGCCAGTGTGGAGGTGTGCTGTATCCTCTTGATAACTGTGTACTGTCCGCAGATATTCTGGACGGACCGGACGCGCGCCAGTGTGGAGGTGTGCTCGCTGGACGGCCAGCTCCGTCAGCTGGTGGTACACAGTCGGCTGCGCAGTCCGCGCGGCCTGGCGCTCTCCCACCGTCACGGGCTGCTGTTCTGGTCCGACTGGGGCCGGCCGCAGCAGGTCGAGAGCGCATGGATGGACGGCACGCACCGGTCAGTGGCGCGAGAGGAACGGCGAGCAGTGGGGAAGACTGTGCGACTAAGTGGGTCGCATGGAAAGACAATCGGGTTCGGACCAGAGTCTGAGCCGGTTCGGGTCCGAGACGTCTTTGCGTTGTTGGATATTATTGGATCTGCCTACCCTGATGACTTGGTTTGCTCCCTCCGTTGTCTTAGCGCTGTGATGTATTTGTGGCGGACGGCGTCGGACGGCCGTGTGTATTACCGAATTTGTTCCTTCCGTTCCCACAGCACTGTGGTGGTTGCGGAGGGCGTTGGTCGTCCGTGCGGTCTGGTGGTGGATGCGTCCTCCGACCGGCTGTTCTGGGTCGACCACCAGCTGGGCACCGTCGAGTCGGCCGCCCTCAACGGTTCAGAGCGGGTCACACTGGTCTCCGGTGAGCATGCGGGACGACGTCCTTGCGGTAAACGCTGTGACGCTGGTGTTTGACGGTCGATAGATGTTACTAGCTATACATATCTCTCTGTTTTAATTGCACTCAGGACTTCATGTCCTGTAATTTGCCATTAGCTAACTACTCAAACTGTCTGGTTGTGTGATAGTTTTTTCACTACACTCTCGGATGGTCCAATGCTGTATGGTTATCCCCGACATCACTGTCGTTAGCGAATAGCCTGTCTAGCTGTGACTGCTGTGAGCCCTTAGCTGCTGGTAGCCCAATGGTATGGTAGTTCTATTCTCAGCTTATCTCACTTTCTCCTCTGACTTCCCCCAGACCTGTCCCGTCCGTCCGGACTGGCCGTCCACCACGGTCGGCTCTACTGGACTGAGGAGACTGGGGCAGAGGGCGCCGACGGCGGCTCCGTCCGCGCCCGGGATATCTCCGACACCTCAGCGACGCCCGAGACCCTCACCCGGCCGCTCTCCAACCTGGGACACATTATGATGCTGGAGGTAAGGAGCAGGGGTGCTGTCTCAGAGCTTCGAAGTGGGTGCCCTGTACCTGAGTGGTGGGGATCATGATAAAATGACGCTGGATCGACTTTTGTATCCTCAGTGTTGTAGTGTTTTACGGAACTTAATATTTGTAAGCCGCATAGCGGAGATACATGAAGCCATATTGTAATAACTAATAAGTACGTTTTTTTTTTTGCTGATGCTGATACCCAGCCGGGTCTCCACCTTTACTGAGGTTCCCCTCGGTTCTCTCCACTCTGTTGGCAGCGTGACGCGGCCATGCTGCGTTACGTGTGTGGCGGCGGTGACAACGGCGGCTGCTCGGGCCTCTGCCTGCGCATCCCCACGGGCCGGAGCTGTGTGTGCGGTACCGGTCTGGTGCCACAGCCGACCGACGCCGGAGCCACCTGCCCCGACCGGCCGGCGAGAATGCTGCTCTACCTGACACTGAACAGGTGAGGGAGGGATGGTCTATTTGATGAACAGTTGGTAAGTGGAAGAGATTTCAGATTGTTGTAGGGTTGAAGAGGTGAAATCGATAATTTTACTTTACAAATAGCCATACGCATTTATTTTGTTGGACCGCTGCCATTCCCATGTTCGGTCACGTGGCGGTGTTGTTACGTCCAGTTGCCCTATGTCCCTTCCCACGCAGAGCATTGTCACGATGTTACCTAATACCTACCGCACTCCCCTTGCAGCGTGGCGCGTGTGTCTCTGGACGTGAGCCAGCCGTGGGACGTGACGTTGCCGGTGACGGACGTCTACAACGCTGCGCATCTCGACTTTGTGGCCGAGGAGAACGCCGTCGTCTATTCGGACCGGCGACTGAATCAGATCAGGTGAGGACTGGGTATGGGAGAGGTGCCCGCCATTGATGTTAGGGGGGTAGGCCTGAGAAGACGTAAAAACTGAACTCTGAGGTTGAACTCGGGTGGACCGAACTTGGTCCCAAATAACAGCTCAGGCGCAACATGTGGGACTAGGTACGGGCGGAGCAGTGTGGTCTCTGAGGGTTCGCATTGGACCAGATCAGATTTAGGAGGTGAGAAAGCGGGCGGGGTGGGGTATAAGAGAGGTAGGTATGTCCGAGCCGAGCAATAGGAGAATGAGGTGGGCCGAGTGTGGCCAAGGAGGGCCCGAGTCCCGAAGAGCCGTTCGATTCACTTTTATGTTGCAAACGTAATGCCGAGTGGTTTCCTTATTTTTTTTAAGTTCAGTCCCGAATCTTTGGAATGCCTGGTTTTAGAGACCAGAAACCACGTAAAGCGGAGTTTGTTGGGCAGCTGGTCTTTGTGCCGCTGAATGAGGGAATTTTGGGCACCCATTATAATTAAAGTCGAAGGTCAAACCTGTCTTCATAGCCGGCCGGAGCTCCGCTCGGCGACTTCATCTAGCCAGTTATGCGATCCCTGCCACTAACTGCAGGCCATCCACGTCCGAAATAAGTAATGAGTGGCACAACCGCTGACCGACCTTTGAAATATTTGTCTTGGCCTTTGCGATACAACAACCCTAGCTGGCTCAAGAGGTCGTCATCTTTTCATTGAGCTTCCGGTGGTAGGGCTACTACAAAATATATTTTTACGTGACATCATGGCAAATGACACTGATATCTGCAGTTAATGCGCATTGTAGGTGCATTGCGCTGTCTTTATTTGGTCATCTTTGCCTTTGCTCCGCAGACTGTAGCTCCATTCGATGTATCTTGGGTTAGCTTATGGGCGCCTTCCCATGCTGTTCAGCCCAAGAAGCGGACGGTGTCGACTCTGGCCACTGATTGGCTGCCGCCGCAGAGGCTCGCTCGCTGATTGGTGCGCCCGGTGCGCGCCAGATGCAGCGCTCGCAGGAACTGCAGTACCTGGCTGCGAGACGGCCGGCACTCGACGTAGGGTCGGCTCTGGAAGCGGGTATGGTGCCGGGTGTAGCTTGGCTGGTCCGCGTCTCGCTTGATGGGTGATCCCGCTGGTGACAGGGATGAAGCCGCTGACATTACCAGCGATCTCGCTGGCACTATTGGTGGCCTCGCCGGCACCACCGCTGACTCTGACGGCACCATCCTCACTGATGACGGCCAGCGGCAGTCAGGACAGCTTGGCCGGCCGGCAGCAGCGGCTCGGAGCGATATGGGACTCCCGCTGGCAGTAGAGATCAGGCAGAGCCAGACGGCCGCCGCTGCCGCCGCCGCCGTCACGTTCAGTGTTGTGTGTTCCATGGCTAACGGCTGTCGGTGCTGGCTCCTAAGGATACGAAGGATGGTCAGATCACCAGGGACCTAAAAGGGTAGCACATTCTTATTTTTCTTTTCTTTTTCTTTAGTTTGCCTTATACGAAACTAATTACAGTACCCTAATTGGCATGCTCGAGATATCTTGCTCGCACAAAAGTTTTCTCTCTTTCCAATTGATAGTAAGTAGCAATTCCAATTATTGCTTACTTTTATAAAATTTCGTATGGAGTTACAGCTCAAAATTTATCCAGTCTTAGAAGTTATCCAACATTTGGAGCGAAAGCTTCTTTTTTTAGAATTCTATAAAATCAAGATTCTTCTCCTCCCCTGTTCCCAAAGCTTGCTGCCGGAGACGGGTTGTCCTCTCTCACCTGTTCTACTGAGTCTCCCGACGATGGCCTGCCTTGCTCTGCTCTCGCCGCTGTGTGCCTGTCGCCTGCTCCCCGTCACCCTTATACCGGCCGGCTCGGTGGGGGTGGCAGCTACAGCCCGGCGTCCAGGCCGGGTGTGGGTGTCTGGTGGACCACGCACAGTGGCGGCTGTCCACTGCACGCCGGCCGACCCCGGGCGAGGGCCATGATAAACGAGCAGCCAGCACCGATCACCGGTTACTGGAGACTGATCGGTTTATTGGGAGTGGTGAGATGGCGATTACAGACAGAGCGCTAATTACCCTGTTTTGGGGTCGCCCGACCTCATTGTTCGTTGGAGCAGAGTTGTTACCAATTTCGTTCTTGATGATTGTTGATAGAAAAAATTGGCGCCATTTGGTAATATTTTTGTACTGATCCAGGCTAGGAGGTCCAGAAGTTTCGATGTTGCGAGATTATCTAACCGCTTAATCGGCGTGTGGCGAGAGCCTGGTTCGTGTCGCTTCGGCGCTCTGTACTTGCCCTGACATGGATGGCCTGCGATTGGTATCAGGCTCGCATTACAAGTCATCTGTTAGCTACCTATACGAACGGACGTCATACATACTGTAACAATGGTTAACGGGAGACATTAGCTTTAAGTTTACGGCAACTTGCGTGTGCCCTGCTTTCATTTACTGTATTGATGGAACCTTTCTGCGACATCAGCCTATCTGTCATGGTCCGTTGCATACTGTTTGACCCACTAATTCCTCCTCCCTTCCACAGGGTGGTGGACATCCGCACGCCGGCCACCACCCCGCCTCGCACGGTGCTCGAGTCGGCCGACGTATGGCCCGAGGGGGTGGCCGTCGACCGGTCGGCTCGGCTGGTGTTCTTCACGGAGGCGCGGGGCCCCAGTGTGTCTGTGGTGGCGCTGAGCGGCTGCTGCCGCCGGCGGCTGATCGCTGACGGCCTCTCCCGGCCCGGCGCCGTGGCGGTGTGGCCCCCGGCCGGCCTGCTGGTCTGGGTCGAGCAGCAGGGACCGCCGCGTATAGAGTCGGCCAGACTGGATGGATCCGAGCGGCGGCGGCTGGTCACCGAGAGGCTGTCGGCGCCCACCGGGCTGGCGCTGGAGGGGGACAGGTCAGTAGAGAGTCACGGCATGGGAGACAGGTCAGTAGAGATTACGGTATGGGAGACAGGTCAGTCGGGGTCACGGCATTTGGGGGAGACAGGTCAGTCGGGAGGTCACGGCACTGGAGGGAGACAGGTCAGTCGCGGTCACGGCACTGGCGGGAGACAGGTCAGTCAGGGTCACGGCGCTGAGGGAGACAAGTTAGATGGGGTTACGGCACGTGTGGTATCACTCGGGATGTGCACGGTTGGGTCATTCGGGAGGTCAAAACATTGGGGGACAGTGGGGTAACATGTCATACGGGACTGGGGATATGTGCTGGGGAGGGGACAGGTCAGACGGAATGTCACGGCACAGTGTGGGTTGCTAGTAACACAGCAATGGAGTCGCAAAAGATGGACAGAAACTGAATAACCGGCTGGGAATAGGTTGTTTCTCGTAATCACTATTTGACAAGCTATCGATGTGTGCCCGCTGAATCTCTAATCGTCTCTATCCGTCCTCCTACCCGCCCTCAGGATGTACTGGGCGGACTCTGAGCTGCACACGCTCGAGTCTGCCGACCTGGCCGGCGGTAACCGGCGGGTGCTCGTCTCCAGCGCCGGACACCCCTTCGGTGTCACCGTGGTGAGTATGGGACATGTCCCTTTGGTGTCATTGGGAGAGTAGTGTGTCACTGGGTTAGAGTATAGGACACCCGTCCGGTATCACTCTATTAACCCGCGCCCAGATGGGGTCTGCCGAGCAACGCGGTCTGATGGGGGGGGGGGCATTTTGGCCCCCCCCCTCAGATCTCGAGAACCACGCAACATAGCGACAAGCGGTAAACGGTGTTGGATAGCCCCAACGGGGAACTACCTTGTGACCCAATTTCATTGACCTCGGTCAAACCGATGACGTCACAGGTCAGGTCAAAGGTCGAATTTTCACCGTTTACAGGCATTTCAAGAAATGCGTTGTAAAATCGTGTAAAATGCATTTCATTGAAAATCATCGATGGGGAAATGTTCTTCAAACACATATTTTGCTATTTGAGGTCACTGATACCAGGTCAGGTCACAGAGGTCAGGTCACTGGGGGGTCACAATATGAAAGTGTCGTGTGATACATGTTTTATGGTCCATTTTACATGACAAATGCGATTATGTGGGTCAGACAGACTTTAGGGCCAGCTTAGGTCACGTTTTGGTCAAGGTCAGGTCAAGGTCAGGTCAAGGTCAGGTCAACTTAGGTCAAATTTCAAAGTTGATATTTTTGCATAAAATGGGTATCGATTCGATGCAGCTCGTCACGGGGAGTTCAATTGTGGTCTCCGTTTTGCGCTACGAGTTCTAGAATTGCTAAAAATTGAGTTCAAAAATTTGACGTCATCAATTTTTAACAGTTTTTTTCGCTATAACTTGGCCAAAAAAAGAGGTATCGATCTAAAATTTGGTATGTATATCGAAGAGCGCAGGGACTATCACATATATTCCGGTTTTTTCGAAATTCGAAAAATTTTGGAAATTTTTTGAGTTTTTCTAAAAAAATCAATTTTTTTTTATTTTTGGGGGTCAAAATCCAAAAATTTCGAAAATCCGAGATTGCAGTTTTGTAGCGCCGTCTTTTCTCTACACAACCACATAAAGAACTTTAAAATTGCTTGTTAACTGTAGAATTGGTGAGGGTTTCAAGATGTCATGTTTTTTGCTCATTTTTACTCGAACATGACCTCAGTTTGACCTCAATAACTCCTGACCTGAGGTGACCTGTGACTTGAAATTTTGTGTGAAGGTGTCAAATTGATGTCCGGTAAGGTACCCAAAATTTGGCGGCGCTGCGCGCCGCCGTTTTCTCGCTATTTAAGAAAAACCACAGGGGGGGGGGCCAAAATGGCCCCCCCCCCATCAGGGCGCGGGTTAATGTGGTCAAAAGATGGCACCGCTCAGTGTCCAGCGTTAGTGTTCATTTTTGGAACGTCGATCGAAAACCATTTATCTAGGTCCGCTCCGTAAGTCATTAGCATATACCAGTTATGCCAGACGTGCGATGCATAAACCACTTTATCTTCAAAACTTTGTAATAAATGGTTATATTGGTGATCACGTGTGTCCCCGTTAATGCCTTATGTCTGAGCCGCTCTCGTTTTGTCCCCCAGATGGGCGACTGGTTGTACTGGAGTGACTGGGGCACCCATTAGTGTCTGACGGGCTCTCGTTTGTCCCCAGATGGGTGACTGGCTGTACTGGAGTGACTGGGGCACACACAGTCTAGAGCGGGTCGGGAAGGTGGACGGCAGCCAGCGGGGCACCGTCAGGGACAGTAAGTCATCGCTGGGTCGGAATCAGGGGAATGACGTGGCGAGTCACGACTAAACGGGTGTTTATATCGAGTGTTTAGGATCGTATGTTGCACAAAGCCGTACCTAGATATTTCTTTTAATTTGCCGTAATTGATATCACTGATTACTAGCCGAATATAAGGCCTGTGTGGCCCATGTAGTTCAGGTAACCTTGTCCTGCAGTGCTGATGCAGAACGTCTGCCTTCTCTGTTGAAGCTGGGTCGGCCCCTTGCCTGGCTCCCTCTTCTCGTCTGAGCTCTGATCTGACCCCTCACCCCTCCTCACAGAGCTGGAGCGCATAATGGACGTGGTGGCTGTATCTACTGGTCGACCGGCCGGCTCCACCCCCTGTGCCCAGGAGAACGGCGGCTGCTCACACCTGTGTCTGTACCGCGGCGGAGGGAACCTGGTGTGCGCCTGCCCGGACACACCGGACGGTCGGGCGTGCGACACCACACCGCACTATCAGGTGAGTTACATCCAATTCACCACTCCACGCTATTCGGTGAGGTACGCTACCATCACACCGCACTTTCACGTGAAATACGGTCTGTCGCATTCTCACCAATGGTGAGAATGGTGAGTCACCTCATCACAGAGAGGTGGGAATAGTGAGGAGTGGTGAGTCACCACTCTTCACTATTCAATGATCCCTATACGAGGTTTACTTTTTAATCTGCTTTGTCGCTAGCAGGCGTCTTTTTTAGAACAGAACGGACGCTCGACTGCATAGCCACGGTGGCTCGTCTTCTCGTAAGCTCCCTGTCAAATTTGAGAAAAGGTCCTACCGTCGTGCAATGTGAACAAATGCTCGGAACTGTTGCAGCTATTGACACGACTCCGCTAGTCTGTCCCTTGCAATGCGGACATGCGACCCCATCACACCCTTTCATTCTAAAGCGTCATTCACATTGCATTGTCTCTCTGTCTCGCGTCATACACCCGCTCACCCCTCCCTTCCCCCGTCCCGCAGAGCCAGCCGAGCACCGCCGCCGGTCTGAGCGGGGTCAGCACGGCGCTGCTGGCCGCCGGCGGGCTGCTGCTGCTGCTGCTCGCCGTACTGCTGGCCGTGCTCTTCAGACGCTCACGGATGGCGCAGCGTGCCCCGGACCGAGAGGCCACCCTGACCTTCAGCAACCCCACGTACAACTCGTCGGCGTCTGACTTCAGCAGCGAGAAACGCTTCTCGTGGAGGAAGGCCAAATATGACAGGTCCCAGGTGAGGAGACAATGTAGGTCTTGAACGGAAAGACTAGCTGTATATCAGGGCCCTGTTTCACCGGTGATAGCAGCACGCTGCTTTTACACGTGTCAAATTGGGTTTCCATGGAAACATCAACAGGCCCATTGCTCCAACACTACCGCAAGTGTGACGTCAGCTCGCGCAATTTGATAGTAGCGTGGTAGCAGCGTCCCGTGAAACACCGCCCAGGCTGGTGGACTGGGTAACTGATCGATCAAATCGAGGGGTAAATGGCCTTGGCATATCCCATAATCGAGGGCATGGGATATGCTTGGATTGTAAACAGCATGCCTTGGTGTCTAAATACACTGTATTTTTTAATGCATGCATTTTACAAGTAATTATTAGGTATGTTCTTCATAACCTTGTGCTCATATCAGTAATTACATTCAAAAGAAAATACAGATTAATATATTTCGACTTGCGCCTTCATCAGAATATGAGAACGATATTCATCAGAATATGAGTTCTCATATTCTGATGAAGGCGCAAGTCGAATTATATTAATCTGTATTTTTCTTTTGAATATTATTACTAATATGAGCATAAGGTTATTAATAACATAACTACAGGGTGTTCCAAAAAAGTGAGCCCCCCAACTAAGATCGACTGTACCTCTGCAATAGGGTGTGTCACTAATCGCAATGCAAGGTGCTCCATCGATTTTATTGTGCTCCACTCATGTGGAAAGGGCGTGGCATTGTTAATTTCCCGCAAATTTTAACCCCCAGGCGGCGCCGAGCGAGAGAAGTTTGCCCTATCTCACAACATAGGCGACCCTAGCGCCCCTGGCGGCTGTTTGCTAAACTAACAGGCCGTTGACTGTATGGGCTTATCCCTGCTTTCTGTAAGCGCGTCTAGGGACAAATAATAGTATGGGCAGATTGCAGAGAGTGCAAGCTAATGACGAATACCTATAATGAATACAATATATTGTCACAGGGGCCCAGGAACATTCTGCCGTGCAAAGTAAAAGAAGCGTAACTCACTTTTTACGATTTTTCAGGAAAGCCGATTTACTGTTTGGAGACATTGTCGCTAAAGTATCATTCCAATATGGGAATTGCATACATCATTGAAATCGCTGAGAAACGGAGATATTTGTGGTATGCAGTAACGTTCCAACAATGGTTTAAGTTAAATGTAAATTGGCAAAAGGTTTTTTTCCTTTCACTTTTTGGGCGAACCGCTTGTACCGCCAAAAGGATGAAAAGCGTAACTCCAAACAGCGCCATGGTAAAAAAGCGTAACTCATTACTGCGCCAGGCGATGCTGTCAAAAAGAGCGTAACTCGCAAGTTACGCTCTTCTTATCTGAAAAAGGGAGCTTTTTTTCATTATGCGCTTATTTTGTACAAGGTGAATGCTTTATACCATACTATTTTATGGACCTCGCACGTCCGAAATAACAGCGAAAGCAGCCATCAGACCCATCAAAACATTGTCAATGAGAAATCCGACGAGGATAATCGGTTACCAATACGCCCACCACGAAGCATATTGCCCGTGAGTAGCTGTGTGTTAAAAGCGCAAGTTTAAACCAGACGCCACCGACTCTTCTGTCTCCTGAGGCTATCGCTACAAGCTTGGCACTAGATTTACCGAAAAAGCGGCCGGCGATCGCAGCTCGCAGTGGTCTTAGCCTACATATCTACCCGGTCAGATTCCTGATGCCCAGTTTCACCGACTGCTTTGGCCTTTGATGGCTTCTCCGAAGTAACTTATGTAGTCGCTAATGATAGGACGTAGAGCGGCGATAATCAAGTAAGCCTAAGTTTGTTTCATCTCTTAAGGGTTGTTCTTTGGGTCTTGGGGCGTCTTGTCAAAGGCAGCCTTCACCAGGAGGCACAAAGTCGTTTCTTCGCACGACTTCGTTACAAAAAGGTCTTCTTCGACTTCTTCACAAAGACGTTTTTTTTTTGTTGGGTTAGGCTTTTTCGGTTTGACAAGACCATTGCAGAGCCGGAAGGATGATAGGAATTAGGGGGAGACATTGGTCTGGACAGACACCCTAGAGAGTCGCCGGGGCTGAGCCCGTCCGAATGGACAGGCCGACCAGCCCCCCAAGCACTCTCTGCACCCGGCTACGGGGTGCGCTCCCTCAGGAGCAGCGGTGCCGCTCCAAGGGAGCAGCCCCCATGAGATATACATAGGTGCCTGTCCGGCCCGGAGTGGGGGTTGCGGCGTGGAGGAGAAGGATTTCAGTTTCCTGAGGATAGAAGCACGGAACGGTGACAAAGACGTCGAGCGAAGATTGCTTTTATCCCCCTCCCCCCCCCCGGTACTTGGATGACCCTGAAGTCCTTCGTCAGAGTATGGAATCTTAGCTGGCAACCCCAGTTTTGTTTCGCTCCCCTATCATCGAAATGGAAGAAGTCGTCATCTTTAAGGATATTCAGTTTTCGTCTGTTTTCTTCAATCATCCTAACAAAACCTCCGAAGCTATCCACTACAGTTTCTTTTACGGACACTCATTTGGACAACTGATGCGGGCAGCGCGTTTACTGAAACGCAGCTGTCACAGGCGGACGTCACCGGGTACGATGCCTTTGGCGAGTGCGATAACAGCATCACCGCTTCTGGAGAAGGACGCTGAGTCGCTGGCCTGTTGCTGTGGCGCTGAGGCCAACTCTTTGAGCGGCATATCTTCTGGGACAGCCAGGGCACTGTTTGCATGGAGGTAGTATTTCGTGGTCCTCCCAGCCGGCCACACGAGGTCTATACTACCTCAATGCAAGCAGTGCCCTGGCTGTCCCAGAAGATATGCCGCTCAGGGAGTTGGCCTCAGCGCCACAGCAACAGGCCAGCGACTCAGCGTCACTCGTGGCTGCCGCGATGTCGGCCGAGAGATGCTGGCTACTCCCAACCTGCATGGCCCCGCGATGACGCATTTACCACGAATCGAGCCCGCGCTAGCCGCCTCTCTGCGCCCTGGTAGTCCCGCGCGGAGAACACCATCGACTGGACGATCCCCCCCCCCACACACACACACATACACGACCCCGGCTGCCTCCGTAGTGAGTCCGCGGCGAACCTGTGAGCGTCCACAGAGGAACGACTCCGCAACATCCGAGGAGCGGACTACGTTACATGTGTCTCGTATAGGAAGATGACTTGGTGTGGGGGGGGGGGGACGGAATCCGCGAAGGTGGAAGATCTTCTCTGATCTTCCTTTCGGACAGAGGAGAAGGAATGACGGTAAGGGTTGCGGCGGGCTCCCTCTGCTCCATAACCAGGGCCGAGCTCTCAAGACGGCGCTTGATGACATCAGCAGGGTCGATCATAACCATGACCAAGGCCCAAGACCAGCGCTTCTGCCTCATCTGGACCGACTTCTACGCGGCGCTGCACACCGTGGACAGTGGCTTAGCGGCAAGGACTGCCGTCCGAGCCACCCGCGGAGAATGGCGAGCGGACTGGTCGGCAGGCGGGTATAGCTCCATCTACAACGACGGCTCACTACCAGCGCCTGCCAGGGCGGACAACAGGGAGGTAACGGTGGACGTCCACCAGCTTCGGGCGGAACACTGCAATGTAGCAGCCCAGTACCTTCACCGGACAGGCGGGCCGACGGGGCGTGGCTGCCGTGGCCGCCGGGTATAACAACTAGCACCAGAGCAAAACGTTTCCCGGGCGCTGATCTGGGCCGATGGGCCACCGATCTACCTGCTGGAGGACTTGTCGCACGACGAGGGCCCAATCGATCAGGCCTGACAGCAGGGGCTGGCATGTCCATCTTCAGTGGGTGCCATCGCTCTGAGATCCTAATGGCAGCGAGACAGTCGACAGCATCGCCGAGGAAGCCAGCGCCCTCAACCCAAACACCCAGTGGACTTTGAGGCAATCCACCGAGCCTCTGCCAGAGTGACAACTGACGACAGCCCGCTCCCTCCAGGCCTGGTCGACCGGATGAAACCGTCGGGTGGTGGGCTCGCCGCAATCCCCAGCCGTTACCGGCGGCGAGTGGGCGGCCGCGCTGTGCGTTCATGAGTCCTGAGCCGGCCACGGGACCGGCTGTACCCAATGCCCACGGTGGGTCGGCTGCCACCCTCCCTCCTCCCCGGTTGGCGAAGTGCGAACAGTCTGATGGGCGGCTCTGCGGATCTTCCCGGTTGCCGAGAGGAAGCTAACATCGGGATACCCCATACCATGATATGGAATACCCCACGTCCCATACCATGGCGCTGCTCCGCACTGTTGCCCACACGAGAGCGGTGTGGCTTCTTGCCATTGCTATGAATGGCAAGTTGGGACAAAGGGCATTGATTAAATATGCTTTGATAAAACCGGTAACTCAACAACATTTTCCATAATTCCATGCAAGAAAAGCGTAACTCCTGAGTTACGCTTTTTATCGTCCATTATTATGAGTTACGCTTTTCTTCTTTTGTAAAGTTAGCTCACTTGAGAAGATACGCTTCTTCATAAAAATAAACTTTAAAATAACTTAAAATATATTCAGCATTTAAGTCTGTAAATTGGTATATAGATTCCCTATTCGATTCTCCGTCGAACGATACCATTATCTCAAAATGGCCAAAAAGTGAGTTACGCTTGTTTTGGTTTGGACGGCAGCATTCTTCAAGTTGGGGTGCAAGCCCAAAATACCTGACATGACGCATATGAAATAGTAGCGTAGTCAGGGGGTCCCAGGAGGCACGTGCCATCTAGTCCCCCCCTATCGCATTCAGAGGACCCCTCGGGTCGGAGGGGCTCTGTGGCACCAGTTTACCGCTCAGGGTCTATGCTGGCCATATTTCGATTCAGAAAGAATAGGGCTCGTAACAGCACCTCGTGAGTCCAAAGAAGCCTCACTAAATTGTCCATGAGGGTTACACGCCGGCTTCTGAAGGCTACTGGCGGCCTCTGAGGGCCCTTTACCGGCCTCTTATGGCCGCTAGCGTGCCTCTGAGAGTCCTTGCCGGCCCAAGAGGGGCCATATCTAGGGCCTTACGCCAACCTGTAATCAGTAATCGC